AACTATGATCTTTGTGGGCTTCTCCGTTTTCTCCTCGAGAGCATTGCAGATTAGATTTCTCAGCATATCCTTTCGGAGGCCCCTAAAGATTTTGAGGTAGCTGATTGCTGTCAAGTTATTTTTAACTTACTGATTAAACAAAAAGAGCACAGCTGATTCCTGTGAGTTTTGGAGAATCCATAGAAGTTGAGATAGCATCGCATGGCCGGCAAAAGCTATTCGTCTTTCTCGTCGTAGCTAGAAAATTCGTTGGTTTTGCTTTTTAAAGTTATTTCTCACTTCCGGATCTTTGATGTTATGAACATAAACAGGAGGCATAACCTAGAAGAAAGTAGAATAATAAAGAACGATAAGGAACTAGAATTTCGATTTCAAACCCCCTCATACCTCCCACAAAACAAAGGTAGCGATTGAGCAAAGAAACGTGACAAAAAGCTGAAAAAAAGTGAGCATGTACTATATTCCATACTCTGCACCTGTTCTAATATGTCAACTCACCGGTAAAGCAAAATTTTGCCCTTTGTTTCTAGGAGGCTCCGTTGTTCTACTTCGATAAAGAACTACAGGTACCAGAATTCCATATGAAACCGCTCCAGCCACCAAATTTGTGTAGTTGGTGAGTCTCGATAACTGTAGAAAATGAAAAAATTGTTTCTTTTTTAAACTCTTACATTATGATTGATGTCAAACTGGAGAGACTCGTCAGTGAAGGTTTCAAAGAAGACCTCATTCGCCCAAAAGACAAACGCTCCACCAGGGGTCATGTACATGCCAAGAACAGAGAAAAATAAACCAATGATGCAAAGTAGAGTACACTAGAAGTTTCTATCAATACAAGTTAAGCAGGTACTTGCCGCATAAACAGCTCTTGGAATGGAGTGAAGTTGAAAAGGGAACAGAACGACGATTAAACGGTGAACAGCGATGATCCCTCTTAACAGATCCGAGCAATAACAACCGGCACGAGCCAAACCAATTGTTAACTAGAACGTTTAACTTTTACAAAGCATACAGGGTGCGTCATAATTATTGCAACAAGAGTTCAAAAACCGTTTTCCAAACAGCTTTCTTATTTTTTTGCCCCCTTTTTTGTTGTGTTGCGTTCTATCTTCTTTATTCTTGCCTAATTGCCTCCCGCTCACACGAAGAAGACGGTTCAGGACTGGTGTGTGGCCAACTTTCCCTCAGTGATCACCAAGGATGAATGGCCTCCAAACTCACCGGATCTCAATGTGATGGACTTTTCCATTTGGGCAATCTTAGAGGCTAATGTCTGCTCTCGAAAACACACAAGTTTGGATTCTTTGAAGAAGTCTTTGACCAAAGGATGGAAGGCGACTCCTCAAGATGACATTCGGACCGCGGTGGAGGCATATCCGAACCGATTAAGGGCTGTTATCAAGGCAAAAGGCGATCATATCGAATGATCTCTTGTTTCCTTATTTGTTACTGTTAAATAAAGCTATTTCTGTTTAAAAATCTTCTTCCAGTGAAACTTCTTGGTGTGCAATGCCTTGAGTATCTTGTTGCAATAATTATGACGCACCCTGTATATTCAAAGAGCTGTATTCAAGGAGCTGTATTCAAGGACTTCAAGGATCTTTTATCAACCATATGTATCATTTACTAGGGAACCTATTCAACTTACCCACGTTGAATGTTCCCCTAATTAGGTTGTTTCAGTTACATCTGTAGATACAAAACAAATAACAACCAAATGCTCTGAGAAAATTCGTAAACATAACTTACAAATCAGTCAACAGCCCCAATTACTTACAATAGTGACGTAGATCTCATAATCCATTGCAAGAGTCATAAAAGCACATAACAAATGATTGACTAGTTGAATCATATTCAAAAACATTAGCAGCATCAAAGTCCAAAAGAAGAATGTGTCTCGGATGTCCTTGGTGACTCTTTGTCTACATGTCTGAAAAAGAAGAAGTCCTCCTCAGCTTTTAGAAGTCCTCCTCAACTTTACCAAAAACATCGTTGAATTGAAAAACCATCCAATTACAGAGGCAATCAATTGCGGAAGTCCATATTTTAATTTTACTTCACCGGCCAAAGAATCCCAAGTGTCATACGGGATATCACTTTGATTGAACCACAACCAGTGACCTGTTGGTCTTGGCATCGGAGTTAAGTTAGAAATTTGAAAATAAAAGTAACTTTTCAAAAAACAACAGTGATCTCTTTGAGCTCTTTGAGCAATTACCCGCTATTTTTTTTTCAAGAGCTTTTATGGGCTGTTTATGGGCTGTAAAATTTTCTAGCCAGCCTGAAATTAGAAAAAACAAGGAACTTTTTTTTTTGAGAGTGATTGGAGAAAGAGTTATTGCAATAATAACTTTTGCTTTTACGAAGATTTCTGATTACTTGGAAGAGACCAAGAAAAACTTTCGGTTACCAAGAATTTTAACAGAATCCTGAGGCTTATTTGTGAAACACGTTGAGAAAAATGAAACATCATAAATCAATTTTTGCTTGGCGATAATTGAGAGGAAACTAAGCCGTAAGCCACAGAAGATTGCAGAAGTTCTTCCAATGGAGGGAGATGTTTAACTTTCGTTGCTTTCAAAGAACTTGATAAACTCGGAAATACTTAATTGGTTCTGGAGGTCTTACTTAGTTGGTTCTGGAGGAGCCACTCCTTTTTTCTCTTCAATTTGATTGTTGGTGAAGAAAAAATGACTCAGTTTGACTAAAAAAAATGATTTTTCGAATAATTTCGTCTTTTGTTTAGTTTTAGGGAAATTAGGCAAACTCTCTGAATTTACTAAACTTTCTGCATTCAAAAAAGATGTACAGGGTGGCTGAAAATTACGTGCGCGCAGCATCAGCATCATAGTTTTAAACAATACAAACAAAATTGGGTCAAATTCTGTTCAGTTGTACGCTACAAATTTCCAACAAAGTTTCTGTAATGTTACTTTGGTTTGGTGAACGGGTTCAGCACGTCAAATCAGCCAAATCATTCGGCATTTAACTTTTTTGATATTCTAAGTTTCTGAAGTTTAATGATCAACATTAATATCCTTTATTTATGTGGTGTGGAGGCCGTTATCTTGCAGAACCCATGCCCGGGACCTTGAGTAAATTGCCAGCGTCGTGTCCACGATGTTGATCAGCTCAGCCAACACTATTTGCATGAAATATCCATGTCAACTTGCCTGTCGCCTCACCGGCCTCTGTCTTCCGCCGTTCAACTGCACTTGCTCGATAATTTGAACCAAATGCACCTTAATGCAATAAATGCAATAATTTCTAATTAAGTGCAATGATGCAATAATTTCAAATTAAGTGCTTCAAAACAACGCTATAGTGTGGACTTTCTACCAACAAAAAATGAAAAGACTATAAAAAGGAGCCACTTTTTGTCTAGAGAAATTCACTTTTCTTCTCTTTTTGCCTTTTCTTTTAACTTCTCTTTCTATAAGTGTCGGGGTGTGAGAGATGGCGGGATATCAAAAGGGATTCACTCTCATTAGCTTAACCCAAATTCTAGCCCATATCCGTTTACTCCTAGGAACGAACAAAGGCATAAAATGATAACACAAAGCTTATCTACTAAAATCTCTCGCATTAAAACCGTAAAAACCGAGGAATAGTTGGCCAATGGCAAAATGAATTGCTTGAAAATTGTCAAATTGTCGAAAATTGCTTGAATGACTGGATTACGATAGTTTTCAAAAGTTGCTCCGTTTTAGGAAACGCACAAAACGCACTCAAGAAGAGCACATTTTGATAGTACAATGGTTGACCTCTTTTTGCTATTGGCCTTGAATTATTTCTAACTTTGTTCATGAATTATTTCGACCGAGAGAAACGACCGAGTTTTTACGGTTTTAAAGAGTAAACAAAGTTCGGTTATCCTAACTTTTACCTAATATTTCATACCTCTTTATCCGAGGAATTTTTGGTTTGTTTTGAAATCCGATTGAAAGAATTTCCTGTCATTAAATTCGCCAAGTTTTTTTTTCTGTTGATTGAACTCCGTTCCTGTTTGTTTAAAACTGTTTCTTATCACTGGAGAAAAGATAAATTCACACCTTCTCAATTCACCCCGCTTCACATAATGATAGCCGCACCGCGCAGTACTAAAAATGCTTTTATTAACAACAAAAAATAATAATTTAGCGACAATTTCTAATCCAACGGTTGCATTCCACTGAATTAGCTCAAAAACTCGATTATTCAAGCGGTGATGGAAGTTATCGATCAATTTTTGGTCGGCCTGGTCGATAATGACGTCGATAATGACGCGTCGATAATGACGTCGATAATGACGTCGATAATGACACGTCGATAATGACGCGTCGATAATGACGTCGATAATGACGTCGATAATGACACGTCGATAATTACAGGCTTAAGCATCAACGTTCCAATATATCTTGTTTCCGTCGTAAATTTTGCGACCCATAAATGCCCATACGTTTTCGACAAAATTCAAGTGTGGAGAACAAGCCGGTCAGGAGAGAAGGGATTCTCTTGCATTGTAACCATTCCTATGGATCTGCGAATCGGAGGGCCATCCTGCATAAAAATTATACTTTTTTTTGCGATTCTGGCACTAAAAAGGCGAAATTCCTCGGCAAAAGGCGAAATTTCTCGGCAAAAGGCGAAATTCCACGTTGCAAGGCCAATAATCCGATTCATTCATCTTCTTTGAAACAAAACATAACTTCTTGTTGATGGAGTGTGGAGCAGCTTTTATTATAAAGAATGTATAAAGAAGATAATCATTCCACTTTACGTCATCTCACTTTTATTGTATAGCAAATTCTTCACGTTTACGAACTAAAATTGAAAGGGAAATGAGTGGTGACAAGAATTTCGACTGATAAGAATTGGAAGCTTTAGGCAAAAAAAAAAAGTTGCAGCGTTTGCAATATAAGGCTGTTTACATAAACTGTTTCTTATCATAAGAATTCAAAAAACAACTACCCACACCGATTTTGTTTTGCGAGCTTGACCAAAATTCACAAGCCATTGACATGAGTTCTTCGGGTTCTTCTGTCGGCGAGCGATCTCATAGCTCGACTCAAAGTTGTCCGAAGTGTTCATCGGGTCCATACTGTATTAAATGTGGCTTTCATGGATATGAGAATTTCTATGAAACGGCATCCTCATATGGTAAGTGAATTGATGGTTAATAGGAAGAAAAGTAGTGAATTTCAAGCAATGAATTTCAAGCAATGAATTTCAATGAGTGAATTTCAATCAATTTCAATCAATTTCAATCAATTTCAATCAATTTCAATCGACTCTAACTAATAACTATTGGGTTGATGCATAATTATCCGGACTTCTTTTATAAATGATTTTATTTAACAAAAAATAACATAAATAGTTAGAAAAATATGTTTAATTGATTATTCTGGAGCATATTCACCGCCTACATCAATAACTGATTGCCATTTGCTTGGAAGACGATCGATTCCACGAGCGAAGAATAAACGATCTTTGGAGGCAATCCACGCTTTAACATCGTCTATCAAGTCATCCAAATCGTTGTAGATCTTATTTGTTTGCCAATTTTTGAGCGATCGATTGACGTGGTAGTCCGTTGGGGCTTCTCCAGTTCTTTGAGATCGCGAAACGACTCTGCGGCAGACCATCCCTTTTCGAAGTGGTAGAGCATGATATGGCGAAGATGGATATGATTGTCGACACGCATTTTGTTCACTAAAGAATAACGAATATTTAAAAAAAAGAAATAGACAAAAAGCTTTCAAAACAAAAAAGATACAAGCACGCAAAAAGAAGTCCGGATAATTATGCATCAACCCAATAATAAATCAAACGAGAGAAATCTCAAAACAACTAATCCCAATTAACCTGAGCTGTTGTAGCTTTATTTATTCAGAAAGCAGAATATCCCATCACTCACATCACTCGAAGGCTCCATATTTTCGTGTTCCGCAATGTCGACCGCCGTCTCAATGCCCATTTCACTCTTGTGTATGTTTTCAGCTCAGAAAAACTCGCTGATCGATTGACAAATAGAAAAAAGTTGATTTGTGGTTATTTTGTATTTTCAAATGAGCTTAGTTTCAGCTAACTTATTTTAGGATGTCCAGCAAACAACCTGGCCACAATTTCGCCGATCGGAGAAGGTCACGACAACTTAGTAGTTAATAATTCAAATCTTTAGACCTTCTTGATCATATTTTCAACGACTTTCCTTATTGAGAACATTGTGCAATGGAGCTTCTACAACTTGCCTGAACTTGGAAGGTAAAAAGAGAGAAAGAGTACAAATGTCAGACAGCTTTCTCAGAAAAAGAGTTGAATGAATGAGCTGAATGAATGAGCTGAGTGAATGAGCTGAGTGAATGAGCTGAATGAATGAGCTGAACTATTGAATGCTTACTTTGAAATCTTTCAGACCACTTGAAGAACAATTCTCAAAAGATCCCCTTGAGTTAATCCACACTTTCTTTGGCACCATCATTCTCATCACTTATCTCTTCTTCTGGATGTTCGGTGTCTACTCAATTTTGCTGAAAATACGGCGATTGCTCTTTGTGTTCATAGCGTATTTGGTGGGTTAAAGAAAAAGGAATCTTTAATAAATTAGTAGATTACAATTACTTTATAAATAAAAAGGAGCAAAGATTTGGTTCTTTTTAGTTTTTTATTAGGTTGGCGAATTGAAAACTGCCGGACTTTGAACTGAAATTTATTGCACATAAAACCATGAATTCATTCCAAATAATTTCCATTATTATTGACGACTTCTGCCCATTTTACAGGCAATTTGCGGATTCCTCTTTCGTAGTAGGATTTTGGTTTGTGTGTGAGACAAGTGTGAGACTCAAAAATGGAGGACTGGAGATATCCGATAGAGAGTTTAAGCACTTTCTTCAAAAGAAACCCATTTTAGTGTCAATAGAAAAGTTGTAGAGAATCAAAAATTAGGCTTATAGCCAAATTTCCAAAAAGATACACTTAGTAGTTTCGCTTCAAATGCAAGTTTTGTTGCAAGTCTTGTGAAAATTTGTAAATTTGGCATTTCTTGAAAACGAGTTTTTGAATCGTTCTGAAAATTTGGATATAAGCTTGATTTTTGATTCTCTACAACTTTTCCATTGACACCAAAATGGGTTTCTTTTGAAGAAAGTGCTCAAACTGTCACATATGACAATAGCCCGCAGTTTTCAATTCACCAACCCAATAGTATTGAAAGAGACTGGAAAGAACCTATAATTGTGTCCCACTTCCATAATGACCGGCGAAGTGTGTCACATTTGTGGCGTTTGAAAAAGATTTAACAATAAATTACGTTAAAATGCTTAATGATTAATGATTTTTAATAAGCTTAATGATTTCTCTTGTCAAAAGTTTAAAGAAAATGCTGCTCAAAAAAAGATTTTGTTTGTTAATACACATTTCAAGTTGAGCTTAAATAAAGAGGCTCATAATTAATGCGCATCCTGTAGATTACGAAAAAGGTGGGCCTATAATTTTTTGTCCTCTTGTGCAGTATTTACGGTAAAGCGTTTAGCTTTTTGTCTCTATCGCCAGCATTTGTCACTTGATCTTTCATTTACTCACCGATCATTACTGGCAAGGAATCGTACTCGTCTCGATTGATGTCTTCTCTTTCACAACCACATTCTTCATCGTCAAGAAACATTATCAACAAATGGGATTATGTGAAAGATGTTACTGAGAAAAATTCAAGAAATATGGATAGAGCAAAATGATTTTTTGTTTTTCTGCTTTCTAGCCAATTTCATTCAAATGACGATCATTTTATAAGTTGAATGAAATGAATCTGTGACGTCATTTATTTGAATGATGTCACTCATTTGAATGATGTCACTCATTTGAATGATGTCACTCATTTGAATGATGTCACTCATTTGAATGATGTCACTCATTTGAATGATGTCACTCATTTGAATGATGTCATTTATTTGAATGATGTCATTTATTTGAATGACGTCACTCATTTGAATGACGTCACTCATTTGAACGTCATCCATTGCAATGACGTCATCCATTGCAATGACGTCATCCATTGCAATGACGTCATCCATTGCAATGACGTCATCCATTGCAATGACGTCATCCATTGCAATGACGTCATCCATTGCAATGACGTCATCCATTGCAATGACGTCATCCATTGCAATGACGTCATCCATTGCAATGACGTCATCCATTGCAATGACGTCATCCATTGCAATGACGTCATCCATTGCAATGACGTCATCAATTGCAATGACGTCATCCATTGCAATGACGTCATCCATTGCAATGACGTCATCCATTGCAATGGCGTCATCCATTTCAATGACGTCATCCATTTCAATGACGTCATCCATTGCAATGACGTCATCCATTGCAATGACGTCATCCATTGCAATGACGTCATCCATTGCAATGGCGTCATCCATTTCAATGACGTCATCCATTTCAATGACGTCATCCATTTCAATGACGTCATCCATTTCAATGACATCATTTATTCGAATGACATCATTTAACGTTTGATTTGATGAATTTCATAATGTTAAATTTTTGTTTTTCTAAGATACAGCCAATTCTTTTCAATAAACATTTTAGCAAACAAAAGAAAAAGCAGATTGTAAAGCGTTCCTTGAACGAGTCTGCTAATTTCAAAACAAAACACAAAAGGTATGGATTACACTAAAAAGAACGGAGCTTAAGTCTGTTTACAAAAGGAAAACTTTACGCTCATCAAAAAAACAAAAACCAGATCGCTTTTTGTTTGCATTAATTTGAAACTCAGCTTGGAAGTGTCCAGAATTTTTTCAAATAAACTCCTGAGCATCGGGCTCTCGGCCAGACAACATCAAGATAGAGCTACTCAAAGCTGGAGGAGAAGACATACACACGCTGCTGGCCGAACGCTTCACCACCTACCTCCACAACCAGAGGATGCCTGACCACTGGCGAGAAGCAAGGACAGTCCTGCTCTGCAAGAAAGGAGACAAAGAAGACATCGGAAACTACAGGCCAATATCTCTGCTGTCAGTTCTGTAAAAGCTCTACACGTTTGTGTTAAATGCGGTCTGTCTGTCCGTCTGTCCGTCTGTCCGTCTGTCCGTCTGTCCGTCTGTCCGTCTGTCCGTCTGTCCGTCTGTCCCGATCACGACAACATGTCTTTGAGGGACGCAAGGTCGCTGGATACTTGTGTGGTCAAATAAATAGCGTCAGACACGCAGAAACTCCTTTTCTTACACACAAACTACAAGCGGATTTAAATCGAAAATTTCAACTCATTACCAACAAACGACCTAGATATTCGGAATCAGTGTGAAATTTGCGACAAAATAGGCTAGGTTCCACTTCGAAACTCGGTGATAAATAAACAATGATCCCTAGTAAGGCAATTTTCAGTTTTTCATCTCAGTGGCCGAAGCTTGTCACCTACTCTCTCATATACTCGTCGACTATTACTGGAATCGTGTTTTCTTTACCCTATGACTTCTCTTATCCAATCACATTCTTTATCGTTAAAAAGCACTATTGTCAAATGCGGCTATGTAAAAGGTGTTATTGATAAAAATCTTGTTATTAGAAAGCACTAGCTTTACAGCTTGTTGCATAGAGCTGAATTTTACTTTTCATCGTTGGTTTAAACCTTTAATGCAACAACAAACTTTATCTAACTGTTGACTAGCTTATAAGCTGTTTTTCCCTTGTTTCCGCTTGTTTTTCTTCCGCCTTACCATTTTGTTATCTTTTACATAAACAAAGGTGGTCTTTGAGCAGCTTGTTATGAAATTCACTTTGCCATTTGATATGTAAATAGATATGTAAAGAATTTGACACCGTTTAATCACAAAACAGGCTAATTTACATTACTAGTCTGTATAGCTAGTCTACTAGTCTACTAGTTTACTAGTCTACTAGTTTACTAGCCTACTAGCCTACTAGTCTACTAGTCTACTAGTCTACTAGCTGACTAGCCTACTAGCTGACTAGTCTACTAGCCTACTAGTCTACTAGGTCTACTAGTCTACTAGCTTACTAGTCTAATAGCTTACTAGTCTACTAGTCTACTAGTCTACTAGTCTACTAGTCTACCAGTTTACTAGTCTACTAGCCTACTAGTTTACTAGCCTACTAGCTTACTAGTCTACTAGTCTACTAGGTCTACTAGCTTACTAGTCTACTAGTCTACTAGCTTACTAGTCTATTCTGTGCATATTCAGGCAAAATTCCCCAAACTAGTGCTTCTCTCTGTGCTGAAACTGAAGCAAACAACAACCTTGTGCCAGAAAAAATTGGTTAATTGATGGATAGAGTATTGATTACACCACAAAATCAGCTTTAAAATTGCTAGATTCAGAAATAGAGTTACTCAAACCATTAAGACTCAACCGGATATTACGTAATTTGTACAATCTTTCTACTATACACATTTTTTGACTTCACCGTCTGCAGTGATAACGGATTCGTTAGCGTAAAAAGTGATGGAATTCGAAAAATTCATTGCCCCCAAATGATTTGTGGGTTTTGCTTTCAAAGGAAAGGCATGAAAAAAGGAAAACAAAAAGGAAAACAAAAAGGGAAACAAAAAGGAGATAAGCTTTCAAAAATGAAAAAGACAAGCAAGTTATGCGGGTGATAAAATGTGTTTGTTTTGGGTGGGATGGGAATACAAAAACAGAGTTGTTTTGTGATGGTTTGCATCATTTAGGTAATTTTACAAGCTTCTTTAAATCTGTATTGGGTTTGAAAGATTTAAATTGGCTTGGTTTAGCTTCTAGCTTTAGCTTCTAGCTTTAGCTTCTAGCTTTAGCTTCTAGCTTTAGCTTCTAGCTTTAGCTTCTAGCTTTAGCTTCTAGCTTTAGCTTCTAGCTTTAGCTTCTAGCTTTAGCTTCTAGCTTTAGCTTCTAGCTTTAGCTTCTAGCTTTAGCTTCTAGCTTTAGCTTCTAGCTTTAGCTTCTAGCTTTAGCTTCTAGCTTTAGCTTCTAGCTTTAGCTTCTAGCTTTAGCTTCTAGCTTTAGCTTCTAGCTTTAGCTTCTAGCTTTAGCTTCTAGCTTTAGCTTCTAGCTTTAGCTTCTAGCTTTAGCTTCTAGCTTTAGCTTCTAGCTTTAGCTTCTAGCTTTAGCTTCTAGCTTTAGCTTCTAGCTTTAGCTTCTAGCTTTAGCTTCTAGCTTTAGCTTTTAGCTTTAGCTTTTAGCTTTAGCTTTTAGCTTTAGCTTTTAGCTTTAGCTTTTAGCTTTAGCTTTTAGCTTTAGCAATCTTTCAAGAATTCTTGAGCTTTTTCACATTATTGAATTCATTTTATAGAAGTATTTGTCGACTAAATCCGGCTCAAAGTCTTCTTCACTATGGAGCACAGTGTGATGGGTTTGTTTTATGAAAAATTCTTGATAAAAACGAATGATAGATGCTCCAGAAAGAGTCGAGTCGAAAGAGGACGATCCACTTGGTGAGTGATTTTGATTTCATAGGAGTTTGATTTCATTTCCGGGAAATTCTTCGAAATATTCTTTGATAAGACTTGAACACTCTATTGGAGTCAGAGAAACTGACTCTTTCTGAGTCAGTTTATCAGAAAGCCTTTTAAAGAGTCAGTTTATCAGAAAACCAGAAAAGTTGACGTATTCTGGGTAATTCTAAAAGATAATCATCTCTTTCTTCCCTACTCTTTCTTCCCTTCTCTTTCCCCTTTTATTTCCTCTTTCTTCTCTGCAAAATACTGAATAGCTCAGTGGTCACAGCTCTGGTTCTCTAATCTAATTTGATTCAACAAAAAGCAACATCAATGGTTCAATCCCCTCTCCGGAAATCTTTCTCTCTCATTCCTTACTTTCTGTCATCTCCTCACAGCATCTCGGCTATCTATTTAAACATTGATGAATCTAGTCTTCAATCTTGAATCAATCTTGCAGATCTTGAATCAATCTTGCAGATCTTGAATCAATCTTGCAGATCATCGTCGTTTAACGAATGATTCCGGTTTTGCCACTTGCAGTTCTCCACCATTTCAGCTTCCTATTGACGATCATCATTGCTGTGTAAGTCTCCAAATATTGCTCTCACACAGATTTTCAGGATATGCAACGAACCAACTGGCCATCTGTACGCTTCAAGCATAAAGTGAGTGAGAGTAGAACAAAAACTCAAACCATTCTTCAATTTTCCTTATCTAGGTCTTTTTGATCTTGTTCTCGAGCGCTTTTGTTGTCGTGGCGACTGTCTTCTGGTGTTTGGTGAACGAGGAATCGTCTCTTGGGTAAGTGCGAGTTTTTGAAACCACAAAACTAATGAAGGTCTTTTCGCCAAAGACAGTCTTTTCGAGCCTAAACTAGCTTAGTGAAAGCTAGATTGCTAGTGGATTGCTTCAACATTGCATCGATTTCAAATATGGGACCTAGCGAAGAAATGCCACTTTAAAAGTGGTTTTCAACCATTTCCGGGAAATGTTGGTCACTGAAAGTTGTTTTCAGCAATTTCAAGAAACCCTATTTAGCTTTTTACTGTTTATAGACACTTTAAAGCACCTAAGAATTGGTTCTAGTTTAATGCTAAGCAAAAACGTTTTGACAGCAGGGACAAAGGATTCGAAGCAGGGACAAAAAAAGGGCAAAGGGAGAGCACAAGATTCGCTAAACCATTCAGCCACTTCTCGAAGGGAGGCCACATACGACGGAGGTGCCGTTTTCCCAAAAATTGCCCAAACTTCAAAAGGATTTTTCTCGAAAACTGAATGCTATGAATGTTATGGAGCTATGGAGTATTAGAAATTCGAAATTCAAGGCGGCATTTCTGCGCTAGGTCCCAGATCCCCAAACCCAAAAGTTAGAGCAGTTTCCTAGTAAGACCAGCTTTACTGGAGGTCCAGATCTGATTTGTCTCAGTTCTCTGGAAGTCTCAGATCTCTGGAAGTCTCAGATCTCTGGAAGTCTCAGATCCCTGGAATGCTAACGTTCTAATCCCATAAGTTTACTAGAGTCAACTATAAGCTTAAACTAGACTATGCGACTAGAACTAGGACTAGAACAAGACTAGAGAGGCTGTTAGAGTTACAGTATATGATTGAATGCGCTTCAAAAGCTCTACCTCAACTCTATGTCTGTACTCTATCAAAATTGTAGCCCCTTCGATGGGACTTTATCTCGTGATCCGTGGGCGGCGATGAACAAATTGTTGGCAACGATTGTCTTTCTCTCCTATATGGTCTTTTGCTTTGTCGGCATTCGCGGTGTTCTCTTCAAAAGCCAAAAAATGGTTTTCCTCTTCATCATCTATTTGGTAAAACATTAAGAATGTTGTCTCTAAAATCTTTCCCAAAGCTTTTTATATGCAAAATCATTCAGGTGACAGTACTGGGAGTGTCGATTCTCCAATTGATCTATCACATCATCCACGATGATCCCTATTCCGAGGCAATCATCACTATTCTTTATCTTTTATATTATATCACAATGTTTCTCGTTTATCGATTGCATTATCATTATATGAATCTCTGCATTCATTGCTATTGAAATGGTTCATTGAAATGGTTATTTTTGATGGTAAAATGGTTAGTTTTGATATTGAAACGGTTATTTTGATGTTAAAATGGTTATTTTGATATTGAAATGGTTATTTTTGATGTTAAAATGGTTATTTTGATGTTAAAATGGTTATTTTTATATTAAAATGGCTATTTTTGATGCTAAAATGGTTAGTTTTGATATTGAAATGGTTATTTTGATGGTAAAATGGTTAGTTTTATATTAAAACAGTGATTTTGATATTGAAATGGCTATTTTGATATTGAAATGGTTATTTTTGATGTTAAACTGGTTATTTTGATGTTAAAACGGTTATTTTTGATGCTAAAATGGTTATTTTTATATTAAAACGGTGATTTTGATATTGAAATGGTTATTTTTGATGTTAAACTGGTTAGTTTGATGTTAAAATGGTTAGTTTTATATTAAAACAGTGATTTTGATATTGAAATGGCTATTTTGATATTGAAATGGTTATTTTTGATGTTAAACTGGTTATTTTGATGTTAAAATGGTTATTTTTGATGTTAAAACGGTTATTTTTAATATTAAAACGGTTAGTTTTATATTGAAATGGCTATTTTTGATGTTAAAATGGTTATTTTGATGTTAAAATGGCTAGTTTTATATTAAAACAGTGATTTTGATATTGAAATGGCTATTTTTAATATTAAAACGGTTAGTTTTGATCTTAAACTGGTTATTTTTGATATTGAAATGGTTATTTTTATATTGAAATGGTTATTTTGATGGTAAACTGGTTAGTTTTGATGTTAAAATGGTTATTTTTGATGGTAAAATGGTTATTTTTGATGTTAAAATGGTTATTTTTATATTAAAACGGTGATTTTGATATTGAAATGGTTATTTTTGATGTTAAACTGGTTAGCTTTGATATTGAAATGGTTATTTTCATATTGAAACGGTGATTTTTAAATTAAAATGGTTATTTTTGATGTTAAAATGGTTATTTTTGATGTTAAAATGGTTATTTTGATGTTAAAACGGTGATTTTGATATTGAAATGGTTATTTTTGATGTTAAACTGGTTGGTTTTCATATTGAAATGGTTATTTTGATGTTAAAATGGTTAGCTTTGATATTGAAATGGTTATTTTCATATTGAAACGGTGATTTTTAAATTAAAATGGTTATTTTTGATGTTAAAATGGTCATTTTTGATATTGAAATGGTTAAATCTAAAAAAAAGTTTGAAAAGATTTCAATTCCCAAATAAAATCAACAAATACAAATAAAAACATGGGAATAATGGCAAATTTTAAGAAGTTTCTTGTCCAGCTTTGACAATCACTATTCTTTATCTTTTAGATGCCAATTAAAACCTGTAATTTGTTTCCAAAGTATTTGAAGTGCAATGGAGTGAAATTTTTGGAGTAGGATTAATTCCGCAATTTTTTTTTGCGCCCCTGAACATTTGCGCACCTTTTTTTTCGCTGGAAAAGGCCTTAGGAAGGCCTTAGAGCCAAAAATGTGTCAATTTAAAAGAATCGTATGCGTAGATCCCGAATTTCGACAAATCAGACCTCGCTAACACGTCAAATTTGGGCTAAAAAGCAAAAACTACGCAACTTAACGCTTTTTTACAGTATAGATCGTATAGAATTGGCGCCATCTTTACCACGGGATTAGGCAACTGGTTTCCAAAAAGCTATCAATGTTTATTTGAAAACTTAGGGCATCTATGGCAAAATGGGGATCAAACTTGTGAGATCTCGCTCTGGAAACGAACGTTGTACCACTCGACCACGGTGGCACCGAGTTGGGTCCGCAAAGAGGCCGCTAAAACCCAAATAAAGCTCCTAACAAAACTTTAGATGCTTATAACTCCTGTCAGATTGTCATTTAGCAAAAACAGAATATCTATTCGGAATCAGCATAAAATTCTGCGTCGAATGGTCTAGGTCGGATAGCATTTAGCATTTCGCTGGCTCAGCCAATTGATCTTTCCTTTTAAGTAAGGTTAGGGTTCGAGTTGTCGTTGGCTAAATGGGTAAAGCGATGGCCCGGAAAGCGGAAAGTCGAGGGTTCGATTCCCACTCGCTGTTTGTGTTCTTTCTAAACTACTTTTTTGCTACCAGACCAATTTTCTAAGTGAAACAAGAGTTAAAGCTTGAAATCCGATTACGACTCGTCAACAGAGCGATAAGTTTTGCGTTTCAGCTTCAATCAACCTGAAATTTTGCTATTCGCGTCTAAAAAGATTTAAAAAAAAAATAGAATTACTTTTCCCAACTCACACTCGGGTTCTTCATAAATTTCATCGATCACATCGTCTCGTGAGTTGGTTTGGTCTCGGATCAGAGGCAAGGATGATTAGAAACCAAGGATCTAAAAGGAAATTTGGGGGCGGCTATTTTGCGCCATAACTTTCTTCGAATTTCACCAATCTTTATGATTTTGATTTCAGTTTGTTGCCCTTATTGAGATCTACAAAATTGGGTTGAGTTTTTGGTTGGGTTGATTGATTTTCCATAAAAGCTTCATCATTTTCACAATAAACGAAATCTAGAAACATTCAGCTCTAGAACTAGAAGTATTTGCGTTTTCCCAACTCACACTCGAGTTTTTCATAAATTTCATCGATCACATCGTCTCGTGAGTTTGATTGAGGATCGGTAAAATCTATTGAAGTTGAAAAATGTGAAATCTAAAATGACTTTTGACTGACTACGTTTAATTAGAAATTCCAGGAAATTCAGAAGATTTTTTAGAGAAATTCAAGCGACCAGACATTTGGGTTGATTCTGGCGATATATTGTCAATTAAAAGAGTTGCTTTTTCCTTGAAAAGCCTTATTTTTAACGTAAACTTGCTATAACTACAAACTTTTATAGAAAAATTCAGAGTTGGATGGGTTTTTTGTGAACTTAAAGTGATAGTGATGTGATCAAAAGTGTGATCTTTTGATGATACTAATTTCAAAAGCAAGTTCTACGAACAGCAGTGCGACGAACAAAGCTCAAGTCGATTTTGCTTCTAGAGTTTTCTCGTATTCAGCTTAAAAACGTGAGCATTTTTTGGTCGGATTTGGCACGTTTTTCATGCAAAATAAGCAAAATAAGCAGAATAAGCAAAATAAGCTAAATCTGTTAGTGCAAAAAAAAGGGGGGAGCAAACATCGCGACTCGAAAGACTCCAGTAAACAGCCGGAAAAGCTATTCAAGGTTTCAAGGTGTTTGGGAGTTGGTACATTTCCGGAAAATTCCAAAATTTCAAAATGATAAACAGGAAGCTTTATTTTTGGCAATATAAGGCATATTCACTGAAACAGAATCATTTTTAAGTAGAGTTTTTCGAAAAAAAAATGGCCCAACTGGTTGGTTCTGCTGAGTTGGTGTTGAAATTCGTCAATTTTTAGGCGATTTGCGTATTCTTTCTTTTCATTTCCACCAATGGCGTTACAGGTAAATAATTTTTTTTTAAAATAGGCTAGTTTTAAACAAAAATAGCTTTAAAAAGAATAAAATAGCTTTACAAAGAATAAAATAGCTTTACAAAGAATAAAATAACTTTAAAGGGTTTAATCGATTAATCCAATTCAGCGCAAATTGGCGGAACGATCACCGCGTCGAGCAATTGTAAGCGGGTGCAGTGTGGCGTGAACGAGATTTGCAATTCGTGTGGCCAAGTGTGCGAGCAGCGATGCGGACATCCACTTATCGTAAGTCCCTACAGCTACAGTTTGCCATAGTTATTGCTAACGAGGGGATTCCACAAAATGGTCGTAGCAAATCGTTAGCAAAACTGACGACGCTACGTAGCAAATTTTGACGGCGCAAACGCCTATCGGACACTGGAAATCCGATGCTGTATTCAGTTTTTGCTCATATTCAAAAACAAAAGACGTGTCCAAAGTTTGAGAGTCATGAAAATCGTGCTGCGGGCTTTTCCGACCCTCGAAATGTTACACCAAAATTCTGGGGACCTTTGTTTTTAGTTTTGGTTAATATTTGAATTTTTCACAAACTTTGATTTTCTTTTCTAGTCTTTTCTATTTTCTTTTCTTTTCTATAATTAGTGCTCAGATGTTTGTCTAAATCGGCACCTAATTAAACCGTTGCCAGGCGTGTTCGACGATCTGCTTGCCGGCGCCCCGAGGAGTATGTCAGTGCGCGATGGGTTTCTCGAGAAATGCCAAGGGATGCTGTGTGCCAAGAGATCAATGCGGTAAAGGTATGTGATATATGCACTAGTGGCTTTATGAGCTTGCACTGTGGGTCCTGTAGTTGCTGTGAGTCCTGTAGTTGCTGTGGATTCTGTAGTTGCTGTGGGTTCTGTAGTTGCTGTGGATTCTGTAGTTGCTGTGGATTCTGTAGTTGCTGTGGGCTCTGTAGTTGCTGTGGGTCCTGTAGCTGCTGTGAGTCCTGTAGTTGCTGTGGGTTCTGTAGTTGCTGTGGGTTCTGTAGTTGCTGTGGATTCTGTAGTTGCTGTGGGCTCTGTAGTTGCTGTGGGTCCTGTAGCTGCTGTGAGTCCTGTAGTTGCTGTGGGTTCTGTAGTTGCTGCGGGTTCTGTAGTTGCTGTGGGTTCTGTAGTTGCTGTGGATTCTGTATTTCTGTAGCTGCGATTGCTTCAACAGCTAACCGTTAAATCTTTCCAGTCACCACAATGGACTGCTCGAAAGGCCGAAGCAGAAGAAGCGCCGACTGGCCGTTCGATTGGAACTGATTAGACGCGTACAAATGGGAAATATCACTGTACATCTTTATCCTTTGTGAATAAATTGAAGTATTTGAGAATGAAGGAATCCAACAGCACTCACACTTTGTCAAGTAACTTCTTGATGACCACAAACAGTTTATTTTCCTTATTTCGAAAACTGGTTGTAATAGTAAAACGCTTTTCATTGTTCTCAAGATTTGCGTCGAATTTTCCTAGGTAATCGATTGTTAGAAGCAGCTGTAACAAACTCACATAATCAGAAAGCAAATACAAATGAGAATTCGGAGAAAACGTACCAAGACAGCTAAATGCTGACAGCCAAATGTGACTTTTGCATAGGAATTCCGCTTTCACAGACATTTTGCAGCATTTGGGAGAAGGGAACTCAAAAAAGAGATCCATCTCTCTTCAGATGGAGAGAGATCTTGTACAAGATAGTGGAGAAAACCCTTTCACCCTTCTTTTCTTTCTCTTCCTTTCCTTCTCTTCCTTTCCGTCTCTTCCTTTCCTTCTCTTCCTTTCCTTCTCTTCCTTTCCTTCTCTTCCTTTCCTTCTCTTCCTTTCCTTCTCTTCCTTTCCTTCTCTTCCTTCCACCTTTCTTCCTTCCACCTTTCTTCCTTCCACCTTTCTTCCTTTCCTTCTCTTCCTTTTCTTCTCTTCCTTTCCTTCTTTTCCTTTCCTTTCTTCCTTCCACCTTTCTTCCTTCCTCTCTTTCCTTCCTTCCCTGCTGTTCTGTTCAATCGGTTTCACCTTCAAGTTATCTATTCACTCAAACTCGAATGAATCCAATTCTCTATTGTTTCTTCAGCTTTTTCGTTTTGCTGATTCATGCCGAGGAATCGGTCAAAGCTGCAGGCAAGAAATTATTTTTGTTTTGGTCACTAAAGACTTATTTGATCATTTGTAGAGTTGCCAACAATTCCGAAAATCCCAGTACGCGCGGCCACTTATCAGCCAGAATCGGTGAGAATTGTTCAGTAGAGCACCACGAGCAAACAAACGAATACATTACAATAAAGCGTGTGACCACGAGAGACTAAAAGGACTGATCGAACGGAATCAAGCTAAACCACTAGTGGTTCAATTCCTCGTTTAAACCTTCTCTATCCAACTCCAGAGCTTCCCGTTTAGAATTTCCATGATGCAGGGTTGTTCTTCTGTCAAATCCCCAAATCGGGCGCCACAATCATGCACACGATTCTGTGCGATCTCTATCGCTACTACAAGGGAATCCCCTTCAAAATCAACTATTCGAACGGAAAAGAGACGAGGTAAAGGAGTAAATCTGATCTTTCGAAATTGATTTTACTAATAATCTAACACAGATGTGTTAGATTATTAGTAAAACGCTTTGCTGACGATTTCAGTGACTGTCAAAAGGAGCATTGGTACGGTAAACCTGGACCTAAGCACAACAAATGGACACCAAATCCGGAAGACACGAGAATCGCCGTAATTCGCAACCCAATGAAGCGTTTCATTTCACTCTACGAATATCTATGCGAGTAAGGGCTTTTCGTCTGTCAGCCTCTCAATAAAAACCTCTCAATAAAGTTTGTTTGAAGCCTAGAGGATTCTAGAGGATTCTAGAGTATTCTAGAGTATTCTTTGAATGCTATGACTGGAATAGATTATCGATAAACCTTAGTAAATCTCGATTGTAGCGATATCAGCTAATCGGGGGGTATCAATTGTCAATAATCTTACCGAGATCTCGCTAAACTGCCAAATCAAAGAGCCTTCAAGCTTATTAGTCCTTATTCATGCTTCAAGCTATCAAAAGATAGCCAGGCTATCAAAAAAGAAAGCCAAGAGTACTCTAGACTCCAAAAAACAATTGTATTGTCTTGTCAGCCGCTTTCAAATGTGCGGCACGGCGCCGAATATCCACCGATTCACGCGAGACGTCTACACTCTTCTCACAAAGAGGTCAACGGCTGGGACGAGTTTCAAAGATTCAGATCGAGACGTCATTGAGTATCACGCACAGCCACAGACATGGTACAGTGAGTCTGAGATAAAAGTAAGCCTCATTTATCACGTAAGATAAATGTTTAGAACTAGAAAACTTGAAAACTAGAAAACTGGAAATCTAGAAAACTAGAAATCTAGAAATCTAGTAAACTAGAAATCTAGAAATCTAGAAAACTAGAAAACTAGAAAACTAGAAAACTAGAGAACTAGAAAACTAGAGAACTAGAAAACTAGAAAACTGGAAATCTAGAAAACTGGAAATCTAGAAAACTAGAAAACTAGAAATCGAGAAAACTAGAAAACTAGAAATCTAGAAAGCTAGAAATCTAGAAAACTTGAAAACTAGAAAACTAGTAATCTGAAGGCTTTGTATTCTATCTGAAAGCCTTGTAAGTCTTTCAAAGCTAGCAAAAGAATGAGAAAGATAAGAAATTAAGAAAGAAAAGAAAGTAAGAAATAAAAGAAAGTTAGACTTCTTGAGCTTTTAGGTTTTGCATCTTGTCAGCAAACGCCGACAAATTCCATTTGGTGCGCAATGAGGGCGATCGCTTGGAGATGAGACGGCAGCTGCAGACAGCTTTCGAAGAGGCAAAAATCCCGAAGTTCTACTCGGATCAAGTAAGGATTTGTTTCTATTTTTGAACTTATTACCGAACTTATTCGATACCGAGCTGTGTGGGGAACAGATGACAATGAGATCAGTTGCTTTGTGGTGTAATGGTTCGTTAGCCCGATAGGCGAAAGGTCGCCAGTTCGATTCTTGCTCGGCATTTTCGAATCCCCAGCATGTTTAGTACAAAAAATAAGTGAATCAATCAATTAAAGCATTAAAGTCGAGTGAAAGTGCTAGTCTAATCGCCTTTTAACGAGCATTTTAAGTTGCAATAAACCCAGCATAATGCAATTGAAGCGCTCAGTAAAGGTATACCGCTACCCGGATTGTCTTCACGCTAAGTGAATGCATTCATGCGTGACAATGAGATTAGATGCTTTGTGGTGTAATGGTTCGTTAGCCCGATAGGCAAGAGTACGATTCCCGGTTCGATTCCTGGTTCGATTCCTGGTTCGATTCCTGGTTCGATTCCCGGTTCGATTCCTGGTACGATTCTCGGTTCGATTCCTGGTTCGATTCCTGGTACGATTCCTGGTATGATTCCCGGTTCGATTCCTGGTACGATTCCCGGTTCGATTCTTAGTACGATTCCCGGTTCGATTCATAGTACGATTCCCGGTTCGATTCCCGGTTCGATTCCTGGTTCGATTCCCGGTTCGATTCCCGGTTCGATTCCCGGTTCGATTCCTGGTTCGATTCCTTTTTCGATTCCTGGTACGATTCCTGGTTCGATTCTCGGTTCGATTCCCGGATGCTCAGCATGTTTTTTGAGTCCCAAACCTCACAAGATCCAACTAATCCAGTTGCAATAAACCCAGCAACTGCAAGAGCCATTCTTTTCAGGTGCTGTTCCATGTGGTTTACTCGGACACGGCGCACGCGAATCACAGCAAAGATCAGGCGATGAAAATCCAGGAATCCCTTGAGCAGAACCCTCAATCGATGGCCTATTTCGACGCGATCTACTACACGGATTTTCAGACATTTTCATATAGAAAATAAGAACACATTCCGCGTTGCCTTTGTCTTTTTCATTTGTCTGCTTTGCCCTTGTCTTTCTGCAAAGCATAAAAAGCCTACAAAAAGCCAAAAAGAATTGTAATGTGTAATGGCAATTTGGAGGTGAGTTTCTAAAGAAAATGAGATGTTGCAAATTTTATTGAGTTGGTGAATTGAAAACTGCCGGCTATTGTCATATGTTACAGTTTGAAATCAAGAAAAATTCACCGTCAAGAAGCTATTTTTCATTCAGAGCCCATAAAAACATCAAATGATTAAAGATTTTTGTTGAAAAACATTTTTTTGAAGCTTTTTAACAAGAAAAGAGTCAAATAAAATATGTGAGAGTCGTTAAAAAGCTTTTCATGAAAAGCAAATGGATATAGAATATGATATATGATAAGCTGCAAATTGATAATAGAAAAAAAAACGTTGAGTGTGATCAACGAATACCCACAACTCTGATAAAGCACCCAAAAAGAGAATGAGCACTGTTTTGTTGAAGTTTAAAAGTTGTTTATTGTTGCTTTAACGTTGTTTATACGGTTTCTGAATATGAGATGTAAAAGATTTATTGGTATCGATCAATGCACACATCGATCAATGCCTGGCAGCAGCAAAGCGACGAGGGCAAGGGCAATAGTTCGCATCTCGTCCGTAGCTGCCCGGATTCCCGGGTCTGCCTGGCTGGCCCCGACCACCGGGACCACCTGGTCCACCAGAATGGCCATTTCCTCCATTTTTGCCCGGCTGTCCTGGAGCTCCCGGGGCCCCGTTGTCTCCTGGTAATCCCTGGAATTTGTTAATCGCATTTTGGAGCAGAGTGGCTTGTTAAAGTTGTTAAAGTTAAAGTTCGTCTTAAAGTGGTTAGCTCGTGCAATATTGGGAATCACAAGATCAAAACTTCGCTTTCCGTTAGCTTGAAAAGTGTTTTGACCCCACACTCTGAAAACTAAAGACCACTTACCCGTTGTCCGGGGGTACCGGGGCGACCGGATGGCCCCTGTGGTCCAGGTCCTCCAGCCCGAACGCCATTCTCTCCAGGAGCCCCTGGAGAGCCGTCCGATCCCGGCTGTCCCGGCTGTCCGTCTTGTCCAGGCTGTCCGGGTGATCCCTCAGGCGCCGGGTAGCTGTCTCCATCTCTTCCTGGAGCTCCTTGATCGCCTGGAGATCCGGGACTACCAGGGGATCCCGGCGGGCCGGGCAGTCCTCCAGGGCAGCGCTTGCACGATGATTCCTAAAGTATTTCCGTTTGGTTTATCATGGCGAATGTATTCCATTATATTAGACTTAGGAAAGAGAGATTTAGGAAAGGATATAGACTAAAATGGGGGTTTGTGGTCCCGTAAAATGAGGGTAAAATTCATATACCATGTAAGTCTCTCACCTCGCCATATTGGTGCGGTGCGCGGCCGGGCTCTCCGGGGGTTCCCCGTCCTCCCGGCGATCCAGGATACCCGTTGTCGCCAGGAGTGCCCGGGGGCCCAGGTGGGCCAGCCGGACAATTGTTCCACTGATCGCACGTGCATTGCCCTCCTCCGTAGCCTCGCGGACTCTCTGGGGGCCTCCGAGAGGACGGAGCTGGCGGCGAGAAGTCTCTAGAGATGCTATATTGTTAGACGGTGATCTTTACTTATGCTCTTTGACAGAAAATCTATCTCTACCTATCCGGAGCCTCCCGACTGTTGCTCTCTCGACTTTTACTGTTGCTCTCTCGACTTCTACTGTTACTGTTGCTGCCACTCCCGGTCTCTTTGGCTCCACGGTTGACACGAACGCGAACCACTCCTTGTTTGGTCACCTAGACTCGAATCTTTCACTGGTACAGTTCTTTGGGCTAATTGCTTTATATAAAAACTCTCACCTGCAGAGCGGCCATCACTTCCATTTCCTTCACTTTGAACTGATCGTTGCGCAGTCGGATCTCATTTTGAATATCCTCAATCTGTGATTCACTTTACATTACTCAAAATATTGTCGAATTTATCGAATCTACAGTATTATACTGGGCAATAGTTCTCCAAATTCTCCAAGTTCTCCAAGTTCTGACAATATTTCTCCAAGTTCCGAGTTCTCCAACCTTTCCCCAGAGATACGGTGCGTACAGCAGACAAGTGAGGATGGCGAGCACCGATCCGGTCGACGAAACCCAGCCGACCAGTGATCCACTCATTCTGAAATTGTCTCCAAATCGTCACTCTTGCCTTCTGTGTGCTAAAAACTTTTGAAAAAAGCTTATCAATGTGAACAATACCAGGAAAAGTCATTCAAGGATTTTCATATTAAAACTAGCCCATTTAGCTTGAGTTTTGAAATGTAGAGAGTGCTTTTAGAGGAAGTAGAGTGTTTTTAGAGGAAGTAGAGAGGGTGTTTAGAAGAAGTAGAGAGTGCTTTTTGAGGAAATAGAGTGCTTTTAGAGGAAGTAGAGTGTTTTTAGAGGAAGTAGAGTGATTATAGAGGAAGTAGAGTGATTATAGAGAAAGTAGAGTGTCTTTAGAGGAAGTAGGGAGTGCTTTTAGAGGAAGTAGAGTGTTTTTAGAGGAAGTAGAGTGTCTTTAGAGGAAGTAGGGAGTGCTTTTAGAGGAAGTAGAGTGTTTTTAGAGGAAGTAGAGTGATTATAGAGGAAGTAGAGTGTCTTTAGAGGAAGTAGAGAGTCTTTTAAGAGGAAGTAGAGAGTCTTTTAAGAGGAAGTATAGAGTGTTTTTAGAGAAAGTATAGAGTGCTTTTAGAGGAAGTAGAGGTTGGTTAAAACAATAAATGGTTGACATAGAAGCGTAAGCGGAAAATGAAAACATTTATCATCATTTATGAGCGAGTTTGACGTTCAGTAAAATCCACAATTTTTCAATGAATGGAAATGGACGCGATTAGTCTATTTATACAGCCAATCACGAATTTACTTAAAAATTCCCCCGAATGTATTTACGTTTTACTTTTTTAAGAGTTGTTCTTTCTCTTCTCTTTTCAGTTGGGGTTAAATGATGGATCGAAAAGAGTCGTCGCACCATTTAGGCCATCGCTGTTCGTTCGCGCTCTTCGTAAACATTCCTAAAAAGTCCTTTGAATCATATCAAAATTGGAATGTTTTCTTGAGTGCTTGCCATATGTTCTTCCCTTTTCCGGGAAATCTTGTTCCCGAAAATTAGAGGTCGCCATCGAAAAAAAAGGCTGATAATCACGTTTCCCAGTTTGGCTGGCTAATGTGGTTTTGTGAGGGTTTGAATGATTGGAAATCAATTGATCAATCACCCCGATGCCAATCACCAAAATTTCCACCTCATTAGCTCGAAAAAAGGATGCAAACACAGAAAGTCTGGCTAATAAATGTTGACTTTTAAATAAACGTTTAATAATTATAAGTTGGCAATAAATTTTTTTGATGAATGTTGAATATTGGTGCCATTTAAGAGTAATGAAATATCATTAAGCTTAGTTATCGAAGTAAGGTCTAGAAAAAGGTCTAGAAAAGGTTTTTTCGCAAAAACAACCTTTTCGCCTTTTCATCGAGTAAAATACACTACTGGACAATGAAATATGATATTTGAAAAACGATCGTCACTTTCGCGCGTCTGTAACTCCCTTGTCTTTGAGTTTAAACTATTAGTGTTATACATTTTCTGAAAGCTCTTTTCAAGGGCTACACAATGGTAATATTAATATTTAGAAATACGGTAAAGACGAGGGAGTTACAGACGCGCGAAAGTGACGATCTTTTTTCAAATATCATATTTCATTGTCCAGTAGTGTAACTGTACTTGTACTTGTACTTGTACTTATACTTGTACTTGTACTTATACTTGTACGTGTACTTATACTTGTACTTATACTTGTACTTATACTTATACTTGTACTTGTACTTATACTTGTACTTATACTTGTACTTGTACTTATACTTGTACTTATACTTGTACTTAAAAGTTCACTGATGAAGAAACCTTTTTCTGGTGTGCCAGGACCTTTTTCTGCCTAGGAAAGGCCGTCTGAATAATGTTGTTCATTCTCATTCTGTAAATCTCACTGATTCAAATGTGAAAAAATGAGAACTTTGTTTGAAATGAACTTTTTTGGCTTGGTTTTCTTTCGGTCTTGCTCTTTCTCTCGGTAATTTATTTCGAACCATTTCGGAAATGAAATCCGTGTCCAGAAAATCGACATCTTGCTTCGATCGCAAAGCTTTAAGTTGAGAAGAAATGAGGTAATGAGGTTGAGAGGTAGAGGAAATGTTGAAAGCTGAAAGTAAATCTGAAGCTTTAAAGCTTTTTAGCTTTATGACTTGCTTGTTTTCTTGGTTTTTCTTAGTTTTTATCAAGACTCGTTGTTACATTTCTTGGTTTTTATCAAAACTCGTTGTTACATTCTCTTGTGCTCCTTTTTAAACATAAAAATTTTATTTCACAAGTTTCAAAATACAAGAAATCATCTTAAATTCCAAATTTCTAGATCATAAAAAGCCTAAAAAAACATATTGCACATTCGGGGAGCGTCACCAAACGAGCAAAAAAAAAGGATTGGAGACGAAGATCTGAAAAGGAAAAGGCAGTGAAAGAATGGGGAATTTGAAAGAAATGGAAAACAATTCAAGTTGAAGTTGAAAGACAATTACCGTATTTTCTCTAATAGTAGTGCACCCGGCCGAGCCGTAAAATAGTCATCAACCCGGCCGAGCCGAGTTGTTGCCTATTTTACAGTTCCCAAGCTTTCCCAGAAGCTCAACACTCAAATCCCCCACTAGATCTCATCGTCAGCTACATTTTCCGACCCCACATCGATCGGTTTTAATAAGCGGTTCTCGAGATTTCGAGGAATTTAAGCGACGCCTAAATTTAGGCGCTTAGGGTGCACTACCATTAGAGAAAATGCGGTAGCTAAATTTGGATAAAAAAAGATCTTCAATCAGAGAGGTCAGAACGAGGAGCTGAAGGGATTGTACCGCAAAGTTTTTCCGGATTTTTACAAATGAGAAACGGGACGTAGAACATTTTTGAGTGTAGAAGTACGGAGGAAGCTGAGTGCAGATGGGGAAGCCTGAAAATTGCATTTGAAAGGTTAAGAAGGTTAAGAAAATCATAAGAACTTAAGAATACAACTAACTAACGTCTGCCTACTACTGTAAATCTATTGGGTTGGGGAGAATGAGTCGGCGCCGAAAATGAAAAAAATGTCTAAAACTTCTATTCGACTTCGTCAAATAATATGCGTTTGATATGAGTAGAATGGTTAACTAATTCTCTACAAAATGGCATTTAAAAGAAACTTCAAACAGCGCCTCCGCTCAAGAAAAAGCCATTTTTTCACAAAAACTACAAAGTGTCATCTAGAAAAAACCATTGGTGGGATCTTCCTGCAAATTTGGCAACTTAAGTAATTGAATGTGCTCTATCTTTTTTATATAAACACCAAAGAAGGTTTATGTGAAAGAAACTGTTCAAATGATGAGTCGGACTCTTTGCCATTTTAACCAGCTGCGTTTGGAAGTTCATAAACTTCACGAAAGAAAAGCTTTGTGGAATCTCTCAAAAGTCATTTTGTAGAGAAATAGTGGATCCTTTTGATGAAACCAAACGTATGTTTAAAGAAGGCTTTATGTGTACAAAAAGTCCCTTTAAAGTTGGGCGCCGACTCATTCTCCCCAACCCAATAATAACTTCGTAAAGCTGAAAAGCTTCCAAAGCTCAAAAGCTTCCAAAGCTCAAAAGCTTCCAAAGCTCAAAAGCTTCCAAAGCTCAAAAGCCTCCAAAGCTGAAAAGCTTCCAAAGCTGAAAGCTCAAAAGCTTCCAAAGCTGAAAAGACATTTTACAACTTACAATTCATAAACTTTGTGCTCAAAAATTGCAAACGTACTCGTTCTAGTACACTTAAGCCTTTAGGTTTCTGAAAGAGTGCTTTGTCTTCGATTTTTGCCAGCAAATTGTGAGATTACAAGCGGGAAACCAGCCTAGGACGGTTTTTTTCCGCTCGTGGTTTGCGGACGGCGCCTAGCCGAGTCCAGCGCAGAGTTAGAGCGCTCCTTTTTTGCTTAAAAAGGTTATTTCTATTATATTTGAGCGTTTGGTAAAAAAAGCAAAATATTTCATCATGGGCGGGTTCGAACCTTAGACCTCTGGCATTTAGTGCCAGCCCCTAACCACTCCGCCATAGGCGCCGCGCCTGGTGCCTAATGGCCTGACAAGGGTGTTCAAAAACGGTTCTCAAAAGCCACAACCACATCAAATTAAAAGAGTATTTCTATTATATTTGTGCTTTTGGTGAAAAAGGCAGAATTTTTGGCCATTCAATTCCAACTCACCACGTTAAAATGTCACTGAGTCTTGGTCCATTCTCGTGTTGGAGGAGATGAATTTGGAGAGCTTTTACGAATTGATCTTGAATGGCGGAGACACGACGAGCGAAAGCCAATCGAATCATTCCATCTCGACCTTCACCCATATCTGAAAATGAGAAGAGATGAAATATTTTGATCGGAAATGAAAGGAAAAGTCAATAGTCGAAGTTCTTTAGCTTTATAACTAAAAAACAAAGCACTTGATCTTCCGTGAACTTATCCATTCTTATCTAACTTCTTATCCATTCATCATTCTATCTTCTTATCTATCATAAACTCTTCATGTCATCTGTCTTAAGACACTGGCTAGCTTAATGGTTAGAGCTGGCTCAATGGTTAGAGCTGGCTCAATGGTTAGTGCTGGCTCAATGGTTAGAGCTGGCTCAATGGTTAGAGCTGGCTCAATGGTTAGAGCTGGCTCAATGGTTAGAGCTGGCTCAATGGTTAGAGCTGGCTCAATGGTTAGAGCTGGCTCAATGGTTAGAGCTGGCTCAATGGTTAGAGCTGGCTCAATGGTTAGAGCAATAGCCTCTCAATGGTTAGAGCAATAGCCGCTCAATGGTTAGAGCAATTGCCGCTCAATGGTTGGAGCAATTGTCGCTCAATATTTAGAGCAATAACCGCTCAATGGTTAGAGCAATAGCCGCTCAATATTTAGAGCAATAACCGCTCAATGGCTAGAGCAATAGCCGCTCAATATTTAGAGCAAGCAAAGCAAAAGCTCGTTGGTTCAATCTCTTCTCCAAAAATCTCCTTCCTTCTGCCAATTCCCTTCTTTATTACCTGCTGAAGTGTAGTGTAAAAGCACGATGGCTTTGATGCAGACATAAGCCTCAGCTGAGACGCGGAGTCGCGAGAAAGAGTTGAGAAGCGTCGTAAACCTTTCAACCAGTGGGCCAGCCTCTCTGAAATTGAATTTTAATAAAAATCTCACTTATTTAACTTCTTTAAACTTTTCTATACTATTCAACTCACTTTATGACGTGTTCCAATGGAATATCTTTTCTCATTACAGCGCTCAACCGATTTTGAAGTAAACGAATGTTGACGCCAAAGTCGACAAAGCTCACCTGTGAAAAAAAAGGTTTTATAAAGTTGATTCAAGTTACGTAAGAGCTTAAAAACAAGTTTTACAAGTTCTTTGTCTTAAAATTGATTTAGATTTACTTCTAGTTTCTAGTTATTGGGTTAGTGAATTGAAAACTGTGGGACTTTCTACTAAAATTTATTGAACATAAAACCATAAATTCATTTCAAATAATTTCCATTATTATTGACGACTTCTGCCCATTTTACAGGCAATTTGCGGATTCCTCTTTCGTAGTAGGATTTTGGTTTGTGTGTGAGACAAGTGTGAGACTCAAAAATGGAGGACTGGAGATGGAGACTGGAGATCCCAGTTTGAGCACTTTCTTCAAAAGAAACCCATTTTGGTGTCAGTAGAAAAGTTGTAGAGAATCAAAAATGAGGCTTATAGCCAAATTTCCAAAAAGATACACTTAGTAGTTTCGCTTAAAATGCAAGTTTTGTGAAAATTCGTAAATTTGGCATTTCTTGAAAACCAGTTTTTGAATCGTTCTGAAAATTTGGATATAAGCTTGATTTTTGATTCTCTACAACTTTTCCATTGACACCAAAATGGGTTTCTTTTGAAGAAAGTGCTCAAACTGTGACAGATGACAATAGACCGCTGTTTTCAATTCACCAATCCAATATTAAACTTGCTGAAACAAGACTGTATAAGGTAGTAGGGAAAAGATGAAAACAACTCCTTGATTTTGCAGCATAAACAAACGGTATCACAAGTGATTAACAAAAAGATTTTCAAGGCGGAAAGTCAGGTTGAAATTAGGTTCAACTTCTTTCAAAAGTTTCTTAGTTCCAAGCAGTTCAAAGCTTTGAATAAACGTTCAGAGTTTTAACACAATTCCATTGTCCCAAAGATAGTTCCAAGCAGTTTTCAATTCACCAACCCAATACATAAGAGCTTAAAAACAAGTTTTACAAGTTCTTTATCTTAAAATTGATTTAGATTGACTTCTAGTTATGTTCTAGTTTCTAGTTATGCTGGCAATGTTGTCAATTTGTTGCTGGCAATTGATTGGTCAACAATGGAAGAGATGAATGAATGCAATCAGTTTCTGCCAGAGCTTTTTTGGTTTGATTATCGATAGGTGTCTAACGAAAAAACGAAATTTCACCATTTCAACGACTACTTTTCAGGATTTCTTGCTACAAAAAAGTCGAATTTTCAAAGCTCTATCTTTTGGTTTCAAAGCCGCTAAAAACAGTAGACTTTGAAGTGTCGAAATCTTGTTTTTCTCGTACACCTATTGACAATTAGATCGAAAATAAACCCTAGTTTATCCTCTTGAAACTTTTTCAAGTTTACAACACAACTTTTGCAAATTTAACAAGATTTTGGCACTTTAAGGATGGCTTTTAACTTTGGCTTTCTTTCACTAAACTTAGCCTAATCAAAACCAATAACAAAAAATCGCATACCTCTCCATTCTCGTCTTGTGTCCCCGTATTCGTAAGCGATGAATGCGTTGCCAAATCGCTCACCGAACAAGTCGAATAGAAGCAAGCTGATAGCAGGACGAGCTCAGCCCATCGTTGAGTGAGTAAATGAGTGTGCACCTCGACGGGCAACTCTCCATAAAATGGCAATTGCTTTGCCCATTCCACGAGTTGTTCTACGATTTCGTCTCCTAAAGAACCTTGTTATCCCAAAGCCAATTTCAAACAAACAATTCCGTAAACAGTATGCAATAGACATACTATAAACGGGTTAAACTATAGACGCTTGTAGAAACGCTTAGAATGGCTATCTTTACAAGCTGGTTTTACCAAAAAAATCGAGCCATTTTGGGCTTTCGAATGGCACCAAAATCAGAGCATTCAAAAGCATTTGAGCATTCAAAAGAGTGGCAGCTTTGAGCATTCAAAATCCCAAAGTTGCCTCGATGTTTTGGTAAAAACAGTTTTTAAAAATAGCCACTCTAAGCCCTTCTACAAACGTTTGTAATTTGAGCTTGGAGTTTTTAGCGCTTATTGCAAGCTTGCAAACAGTTGCAGTTTGCAAACAATTCGACAAAGCTTACCGATTCTAGAGAGTCGTTGAGTGGCTGGGGCGAGGTCTTCGCCTTCACGGAGGAATATTTTCAGTCCTCTCAAGTTGATCAATTTGTCAATGCCATCAATGTCGATCAATTCCTAAAATTGAATATCATTGATTCAGACTTGATTTATCATTGTTTCAGACTTGACTTATCATTGATAAGTCACTATCAGACTTGATTTATCAGACTTGACTTATCAGACTTGACTTATCATTGTTTCAGACTTGACTTATCATTGATAAGTCACTATCAGACTTGATTTATCATATCATTGATTCAGATTTAGACTTTATTTTGTTGCGACAAGAAACTATTGTGAAATAAGGCAATGTCTAGCTTGAATCAATGTTTAGTTGAAAGCTGAATGACTCGTTTATCGATTCGTTTATCGATTCGTTTATCGACTCATTTATCGACTCATTTATCGAATCTCTCTCAAATTTGGGTAATTAAACCAATAGATCAAAAAAGCAATAGAAGGGAGAGAACAGAAAAGAATGTAGAATGATTTAAGTTTACTTTACAGAGTACCAATTTGAGTCACAGTCTGAGCAAGAGAAAATGAGCGCTTTTGAATGAACGTTCCGAGTCGCTTTGAGTCGTTCCGACACTGTGAAATGGTGACAAAAAAAATTATGGATGAATTTTGGTAATGTAGTTGTCAAAAGGCTATAGGCATTTTTCTATGGCACACTTTTCGATAGGGATGGTGACTCTAGGCATTTTTCTTGATGTCTATTAAGCGGTGCATAATTTGATGCACACCCTGTAGTTGTCAAAGGTCAAATTGAATTGAATTGAACTCGAAAGTACCAAGTGTTATTTAGAGAATTGAAGCCCTGAATCTTGGCTACATTTATCTACCGCTAAACTTTCAAATAATAAAATTCGATTCAAGTATCAAGCTCGTAAATGAGCTCGGCCTTGCTTCGGCCTTTCTTCGGCCATTTTTGACGCATTTCTTTCGAAAAAACTTTAGAAAAAGATTTGATAGTTTGAGCTTTGTTTGGGATTGACTTATATAGCATAAGGGGATATGCATTTGCATTGACTTGATGATAATTATCACAAATTTTTACCTGTATCAAGTTTCGACTCGTTGAGTGTGGCGCTGTCCAAGCAGAGATCTCTTCAGTCGGTGTTCGGGGCAACGGGGTCACTCGGATTAGTGCTTTTGCCTGAATCTCGTAAATAACCTATTCAATTTATCAAATATTCTTAAACTTAAGTATCTTATAGCGCTTTTTAATAGGATTTTCCAAAGAAATGAACTCACTTTTGAGCTTGTGACAGTGACTGAAGAGGTCGATGTGTCAGTGTTTGTATTCGACGAGGCACTCGTCCTTCTCGACATTTGATCCGAGCTGATTCTTCGCGCTTTCTTGTACTTCATCTTTAAAAATTATATTTACATATAATATATTTACATTTAAGGCTGAAATTAAAGTATTGTTTTCAGTAATTTACCTTATAAATACTGTAAATAGCTGAACCGTTTCGTCCACCGGGCATACGATCTTCACGGACTGCTAGAAATGGAGAAATGGTTTGGAATGGACAATTTGGAATGGACAATTTGGAATGGACAATTTGAGTTAAGATTCTCAATAGAATAAGCTCTCGATAGAATAATATTAATAAAGTAAACAAGTCTATTAATAAAGTTAATAATAAAGTTATTGATGAATGTACAGGGTGGCCAAGAATTACCGCAACAACTTTTTGGACAAGTATCTGGTCTAATTTATTTCAAAAGTGGCAAGTGTTATACAGAGAATTGTAGGCGTAATTCTCGGCAACATTTATCTACCAAAAACATCCCGTTTGGACTTATACAACTCATTTGACAAGCGCTTGAATGAGCGCTAGTCGACATCTCTCTGGCGAATCTGTCATTTTTGTCAATTCTTGGTCACCCTGTATAATAATTGATAAAAGTTTCACAAACCTTCAACGACCATGCCTTGTTGAAGGCACTTTTGGAATCGGCAGTGTTGGCAGCGATTTCGTTGCTCTGAAAATGATAGTAAAAGTATTGAAAGAAGAGAATTTATAAAGCGATAGACAGCAATAAGGCAATTGATAGACAAAAAGGTTGCAAATCTTATTAAGAACAGCTTTTCATTAACTCTAAAGAAAGCTAGAGGTTGAAAACTCGACAAAAAGCTTACAAATTGTTTTTGATTAACTGATTGAAGTCAGTAAAACTGATTGAAGTTGACTGATTCATTGAGTAGTTACAAGAGTTTGAGATTAGATGAAAAGATATTGACTAAAGGAGCAAAAAGAGCAAAAGAAGCTCAAAAAGAGATCAAAAAGAGCCACTCAAGTCTTCTCAACGTAATCCTTTCAGCTAACCTTTGTTGATTGGACAGTCAGAAGTGCCGGCTGAACACGTGTAGACTCGCTTGTTTTGAACGGTTCGTTTGAAGAAACCCTTGCAACTGAAATTTGATCTTTTAAAGTTTTAGATTAACATCTTTGACAAAGAAAGTTTCAAAGAAATTTCGTTGTTTCTAGATTTAAACAAGTCACAAACTTTGAAATCAAATTAGTACTATAGAAATCGATGCAAATGTGACAAGAATGAGTCCAGAGTTCAGCGAATTAACACCAGAATACTGTAGACTACAGTAGACTACAATAAACAATACGATAAACAACACAATTGAACAATGAGCGCAAAGAACAAGTCTTCAAGAACGAGAAAATTCTTTCGAAAAAGCAAAGAAGACAAACTTTCCCTAAACCATGGGATTTAATAAGAATTCTATCAAATACAAGCCTCTATACAACGCCCTGGCTACCGTATCCTTGTTTCCTTTTCATTTTTGACAATAGTCGCGACTCAATAACCTTTTCTGCTATCAAATTTGATGTTCGGTTTGGTTCGGTTAATTTTCCCTTCATCCCCTTCATCCCTACTAATAATTTCAAAGAAATCATCTACAATTTAGAAATTAAACAAGAAGATTAACGAGAACACCTATATGAACAAAATTGGAATTGGAAAAGCGGTGACAAACTGTGAAATAATAGCTGTGTGCTGGTGAGGTGTCTGCGTCGGTGGAACCGTCTGGTGCTGGGTTTATCCGACCCCAGAAACCCACAGAAACGAGGAAAATGCGCCCAACTCAACTAGTCACGAGAAATAGTCCAGAATCGTCACAGAAATGTCACAGAATTTGAGGGAAGTCAGCTGGAGGAGCAGATGACAAGTCAAGGACACCCAACCACCGTCCCTTCCTCCTCCAAAGATCCCCGTCTGTCCCACTGCCCTCACTCCGCCTCCCATCCCCCTTCATTTCCTTTCCTAGATTCGAACCTGGCACTCACTGGTGCTCAACATTTCTCGTCTTCTTGTACTTTCCATTTCAAAAGCGACACTTTTCTCGAGCACAAGAGAAATGGATTCAAAGTTCCAGTTGTTCCGGTTTTTTTCCGGGAATAGTTTTCAAAAGAAATACAAAACCTTTTCTCAAGGAGATAAAGAGCTAAGATAAAACAAGAACGGTACTTTTGCTTTAAATCTCTTTATATTTTAAATCCCCTTATGCATCTCTATGGAAAGCCTCCCCAAAATTTGAAATTTTAAAAGAACTAGACAGAATTCAATGGGACAAAAATTAAGGAAATGAAGAAATGAAGAAAATACCTGTGGCGATAACTCACATGTAAAATTACGATAAGTTAACTTTTTAAATGGAAACTCTGAAATGGTTTATGTTTGGTTTGATGATGCTGATGATGATGAGGATGATGGTGCTGATGCTAATGATGATGGTGATGCTGATGATGCTGATGATGATGATGCTGATGATGATGCTGATGATGCTGATGATGGTGATGCTGATGATGGTGATGATGCTGATGATGCTGATGATGCTGATGATGCTGATGATGCTGATGCTGATGGTTTATGTTGGTTTGATGATGCTGATGGTTTATGTTTGATTTGATGATGCTGATGATGATGAGGATGATGGTGCTGATGCTAATGATGATGATGATGCTGATGATGCTGATGATGATGATGCTGATGATGATGCTGATGATGCTGATGATGGTGATGCTGATGATGGTGATGATGCTGATGATGCTGATGATGCTGATGATGCTGATGATGCTGATGATGCTGATGATGCTGATGATGCTGATGCTGATGGTTTATGTTGGTTTGATGATGCTGATGATTTATGTTTGGTTTGATGATGCTGATGATGATGAGGATGATGGTGCTGATGCTAATGATGATGCTAATGATGATGATGATGATGATGCTGAAGATGATGCTGATGATGCTGATGATGATGCTGATGCTGATGATGCTGCTGATGATGCTGATGATGCTGATAATGATGGTGATAACAAATTGGGTGTTCTAAAGCATAAGTACCGTCAAACTTCCAATTTTAAAAGTCATCATCATCATCAGCATCACCAATTTTGGCTACTAATAGCCAAAAATCTCAAAATTCAGCATTGAAATCTGTTTGAACACAACGGCATTGAGCTATTTTTCTTTAAAAACTAGGCCAGCTGTTGCATAATTTTATGTGGAAAAGGTTAAGGTGAATAGGAGAGCAAAATGAGATGAGAAAAGGGGGAAAGATCGAGAGGAATAGACAGATGTTGTGGCCAAGGTCACGCCTAATCTCTAGTCTTTATTGAAGAATTGGTAAACCGCTCGTTTTAGCAATTGTTTGGGTAAGGTTCTGAGAAGAGAAAATGGTTATTTCACTTTTCAAACTAGTTTGGAAATTTGCAGTTGAAATAGTGGATCATTACGGTTAACGGAGGAGGGGCGAACTTTTAGCCAACTCGCAGCTCATTTTTAAGCACCTTAAACTTGTCGGTTCAGAAAGTTTTAATAAGATTTAGATAGCTTAGAACGTCAGCTTCCAGAAAATATTTGTTTCATTAAAAGTTATCAACAAAAACTTATCTAAAATAGGGCTGCAAAATGGTCAAAAACTTGCCCCTTCCCCCTCCTCCCCCCGATAACTGTAAAGATCTGAAATAATCATATAAACTTTATTTCAATAATAAAGCTCAACAAAATCCACAATACAGAAAGATTTAAGGCACACAGTTTGCAATAAATCGAAAGAAAGGAGAAAAAACATTTGCAGATCTAGTGAATTGAAGTTTGGGATTTAGAGATCTATTTAGCTGAGATTTAGCTGAGAAATAACGGATTTAAACGAGCTTATAGATGAAAGATTGCGAATTTCATTGAATTCGAAGAAAAATTCGCTCTATCCAACTCGAAAAATCTTAGTGCAAATCAAGAAATCAAGAAAACAAGAAAACAAGCAAACAAGAAAACAAGAAAACAGTACTTCTACAGTTCAACCTTTCTTCTATCTTTATCTTTACCTTTCCTCTAACAACAAGACTGATTGACTTGTGAAAAGCACTAAATCTTCATGGTAGTATTTTTAGTTCTTATAAAAACAACAAAACTTTCGAGTAAATAAATTGAAAGCGAGTTGAAAGCGAGTTGAAATTGAAAGGAAAAAGCCAAAAGATTCAATTACGGTTGCCCGGTCAACGCGCCTTTCACCAAAGAATCATTAGTCGTTAAAGGAATTGTTAAACTATTGTAAATCTTCAAAGAAGTTATTAAAGAAGTTATTAAAGACTTCTTAAAGACTTCTTACAGACTTCTTAAAGATTTATTAAAGACTTCTTAAAGACTTTATAAAGACTTCTTAAAGACTTATTAAAGACTTATTAAAGACTTCTTAAAGACCTCTTAAAGACTTCTTAAAGACTTCTTACAGACTTCTTAAAGATTTATTAAAGACTTATTAAAGACTTTATAAAGACTTATTAAAGACTTCTTAAAGACCTCTTAAAGACTTATTAAAGAAACTATTAAAGAAACTAGTAAAGAAACTATTAAAGAAACTATTAAAGAAGCTATTAAAATCATTATTTCAACTTTTAAAACACAATATACCATTCTAGAATCAGGTAATAGAATAAAAACAAACACTAAAATTGGTGCTAATTTTAAAAAAACTTTAAAAAAGCTTTTGCTTCAAAAAACAAAACTAAATATCAAAACAAAAGAAATTTAAAAAAAAAGAAAATTGTTTTGTTTCCACTTTCCACTAAAATTAAATGTCTTCTTTGGAAGTAAGTGAGAAAAAAAAGGGTTGAGGAGAGACAAAGAAGACAAAGAATGAGGGAAACATTGTCTATCGTGGTAAAGTTTTTTTACATAAAATGATTGTTTATTGATAGAGTTGTTGATTAGATGAGAATGTACAGTTTGGTGCTCGGTACAAAAAACGCATTAATTCTGGCGTACTTGAAGATTCACTCTTTTAAGAAAGAAGTAAATAAGTAAGAAGTAAGTAAGAAGTAAGTAAGAAGTAAGAAGTATGCAAGTAAGAGGTAAGTAGGTAAGAAGTAAATAAGTAAGAAGTAAGTAGGTAAGAAGTAAGAAGTATGTAAGTAAGAAGTATGCAAGTAAGAAGTAAGTAAGTAAGAAGTAAGTAAGAAGTAAGTAGGCAAGAAGTATACAAGTAAGAAGTAAGTAGGTACGAAACAAGTAAGTAAGTAAGAAGAAGTACTTTTTAAACTACTTGGTACTCTTTTAACTTCAACAACTTTGTGTCAATGGAAAAAGAAAGTGTTAATTTTGGCAGAAATGATATTTCCATGTCTAACAGTGATTAAAAAGCACAAACGAGAAGCCCGTAAAACATTAATCGTTAAAGGAATTGTTCATCAATCTTCAAGTACTCATCAATCTCATCTAATAGTTTATTAGATAAGATTGATGAGTATTTGAAGAGTAAATAATGAGTATCAAATAAGATCATTATTTTTCTTAAAGGTGAAGCTATAGAAAGCTATGGAAAGCTATGAAAAGCTTTGGAAAGCTTTGGGAAGCTATGGAAGGTTTGGAAAGCTATGGAAAGCTTTGGGAAAGCTATGGAAAGCTTTGGGAAGCTATGGAAAGCTATGGAAAGCTATGGAAAGCTATGGAAAGCTTTGGGAAGCTTTGGGAAGCTATGGGAAGCTTTGGGAAGCTTTGGGAAAGCTATGGAAAGCTATGGGAAGTTTTGGAAAGCTATGGGAAGTTTTGGAAAGCTATGGGAAGCTTTGGAAAGCTATGGGAAGTTTTGGAAAGCTATGAAAAGCTTTGGAAAGCTTTGGGAAGCTATGGAAGGTTTGGAAAGCTATGGAAAGCTATGGGAAGTTTTGGAAAGCTATGGGAAGCTTTGGAAAGCTATGGGAAGCTTTGGAAAGCTATGGGAAGCTTTGGCAAGCTTTGGGAAGCTATGGAAAGCTATGGAAAGCTTTGGAAAGCTATGGAAAGCTTTGGAAAGCTATGGACAAGGTGAAGTGTGTTCCTTTCGACTAATGCCTTTTCTAAAATGCACCTATTTGAGAGTACCGTAGTCAACCCGTTAGTTTTCATCAGATCAATCCAATTTTTAAGTCAAACTGCCAATTTACATCCGATCAGCTCAATTTTGGTATGATTTGATGAGGAATCACAAGGCTCAGCCAATGCTTTAAAAATTGGATTGATCAGAAAGCGCATTAGTCGAGAGGACACTCTAGGACAAGGCTCTAGGACTCTAGGACAAGGCTCTAGGACTCTAGGACAAGGCTCTAGGACTCTAGGACTCTAGGACACTTTTAAAACTTACATTTTTCCAAAGTAACTTTTAGAAAACGCATTACTCTTGAGGAAAATAGTCTTTGAATCCAAAAGATTCAAAATCTATGAATCCAAAAAATCAATCCAAATACAGTACTAAAAATTCTATCAAATTTTTTTAATATTCCAATCAAATCAGACAAAACAAGAGGAAAAGAAACACAACAAATTTTTTTGATAGACTTTTGTCTTTTTGGGGAATGAGGGGAAAAAGAAAAGAGTAGTCTCTGGAGTAAAAGAAGAAGAAAAAGATGAAATTCTCTCAATTCTTAAAAGCAAAAGAGTAGACACAAAGCCCCATCGAAGAAGGAAAAAAGAAATATCGAAAAATTTTGTAGATGGGAAAACAATGAGAGCTTCGCGTTTCTCTTGACCAAACTTGGGAATTTTTCTTGACGAGAGCGAGAGAAATTTTCCTCGTTTTCTGCTTGAAAACAGACTGACCGAGAAGTGGACAGTGAAAGGAAAAGAGAGGAGGAAGAAAGGAGAAAGAAAGGAGAAGAAAGAAAGGAGAAAGAAAGAAGAAAGAAAGGAGAAGAAAGAAGAAAAGAAAGAAGAAAGAAAGAAGAAAAGAAAATGGCAGTAAAATCTTTTTTTCATCTTGAAGATTGGGAAAAGTTGGGGTGAGAAAAAAACGTTTTTTTTCTCCAATTTTTCTCCAAATTTTCAATGACAATGAAAAAATTGTCGATTTGAAGGAAAAGAAAAATTGAAGGGAAAAAGTGTGTAATTTTAATGAGTAAGGTTAATGAGTAAGGTTAATGAGTAAAGGTTTAAGCCCTTGTCCCACTACAGCATTTTCAAATGAAATGGCTAGTAAACTATTGGGTTAATGAATTGAAAACTGCGGGCAATAGAAGATAACTAGTACCGATTTGTTTCCTAAAGAGATCATCCACCAATCCTCGAGATTTCGAGCTCTAGATCTAGATCTAGATCGAACTATTGGGTTGGTCAATTGAAAACTGCCGGCTATTGACAGTTTGAGCACTTTCTTCAAAAGAAACCCATTTTGGTGTCATTGGAAAAAGTTGTAGAGAATCAAAAATCAAGCTTATATCCAAATTTTCAGAACGATTCAAAAACTGGTTTTCTAGAAATGCCAAATTTACGAATTTTCACAAAACTTGCATTTTAAGCGAAAGTACTAAGTGTATCTTTTTGGAAATTTGGCTATAAGTCTAATTTCTGATTCTCTACAACTTTTCTATTGACACCAAAATGGGTTTCTTTTGAAGAAAGTGCTCAAACTGGGATCTCCAGTCTCCATCTCCAGTCCTCGATTTTTGACTTATGATAAGGGCTACAGTCGCTCACCAAAAAAGTGACTCAGTAGTGCAGTGGTAGGCTGTCTCTCAGTTTAGTACCCGAATTTGATCCCCTTTAGATCAATTTGTTTTCCCCATTTTTATTTTGATATTTTGAGTAGTTTTGAGTATCTTTAGCTTCGATTCGAAAACCTTTTGATTGTGGTCAAAGTGATTAAGGAAGAGTGAGTAAGGAAGAGAGGAAAGGAACGGTATTTGGGATGGTAGCACGCGACAATGATCCGAGGGGAAGATATCGGAAGAGAGGAAGAGGATTCATTAAATGGATCTCATGCAGAGATCGAAAGAGACTTTGTTTCACAGCTTAACCCCGTTCCTGAGATCAACTAGATGGAAAGGGACGATGCGATAATATTAAGTTGGCAAGAAAGGTCGTAGAAAAAGTTTGCACGGTGATTTCTTGCCAACCAAATGATTCGAAACTGATAGTTTAGATTCCAAGGTTTGAAAGGCACTCTTTTCTTGAGCACAAAACTCAAAGGAATTGATTGAAAGCAAGTGATTGAAAGGAATTGATTGAAAGCAATTGATTGAAGCCAACTGATTGAAGCCAACTGATTGAAGCTAACTGATTGAAGCCAATTGATTGAAGCCAACTGATTGAAGCCAACTGATCCAAACCTATTGATCCAAACCAATTGATCCAAAGCAATTGATTCAAAGTCTGGAAAAGTTGTATAGGTAAACTTACATTGACAAAACTGTTGCTTTAAACCATAAAAATCAAGAATGATGGATGATGAACCCAGTGGAATTTTTGAAAAGGCTAAAAGGCAATCAAAAAATGAGATTCCTAACATGTCAAGATCTTGGAATGGAATGAAATTTTCAAATACAGTAAGCACTCCCAACTTTCAAGTTCTCCGTAACCCCGTTCGACTGAGGTCGACTGAGGTCGACTTTTAAAATGCTAGGTGGAAGTCTGTTCTAGGCACAAGGCGATTCCCACGAGCGAGCAGGGTGAAAGGGAGAGACTGAGAGCTGAGACTGAGACTGGGAAATGATCGAGAAAGAGAGCAAAGAGAGGAGAACGTCCATGACCAAGTTCGGTCTTCTCTCTCTCTCTTTCCTTTTTCAACTTCCCATCTCTTTCACTTTAGAGTGGTTGTGTGACAAAAAAAAAAGAGTTCTAGGGGGAAGAAAAACCGAGGTTTTTTCAGAGAAAAATGATCAGAAATACAGACAAGTGCACAAAGTTTCTCTAAAAACACAAAGGACTACAAAAATTGGTTATAGGAAAGGTTTGACGGTTGGAAAGGAAGGTTTTTAAGTGTTAAATTTTCAATCTAAATAAAGATATTCAGTTGATTGCCTTAAAGAAGTTTGAAAGGTGATACGGTAAGTCAGTTATTATAAAGATATTCAGTTGATAAGTCTGATTTTTTGCAAGTAATTCGTAAGTAATTCATAAGTAATTCGTAAGTAATTCATACTAATAAATAAGATACAGTAATTCGCTGCAGTAAACCTATTTTTTCTCCAGGTAATCCGTAGCATGAAATGATACTGACAATGAGATTCTACAGTAGCTTTTACAATAGAAAAACCAAGTTGATCAGATGAAAAAGAAGAAAAATACAGTAGTTTAAGTCAAAGAACTTGTGATCAATGTATTGTTAAATCGTATTGTTAAATCATATTGTTAAATCGTATTATCAAATCTGTTGAGGATTACTGTATTGTAAAGAAATGAACTTTTGAACTCACCCCTCACAGGTGAAAATCCCGTAGTGTAACCCGGAGGCGCGATCACCGCAAATTCCGCAAAGTGATGCCTCGATGTCAAGGTTTTCAGGCAAATCCACCACTTCCACGGTCTCATTTTTCACATTTTCCACTAACGGCGCATCGCTTGGAGAAGATAGGGTTGAGATTGCCTAGAAATCTTTTAGATTTCATTCAACAGTGATCATAGTTTCTCATTTGTCTTGGAGCTCATTTATTGCTTCTGGATTTACGACTTACTTAGAAGACTCGACTTACTTAGAAGACTCGACTTACTTAGAAGACTCGACTTACTTAGAAGTTACGAGTTACTCGACTTACGAGTCTATTGATTAGATGAGACTTAACTCTGCAGTTGGTAGTTAAGTGCAATGTTTGAAAGCCTTCAAGATCTTTATCATTACTACAAATGTAGTTGAACATCTTTATCATGTTGGTCCTTTTATGGTCCTTTTATGGGCCTTTTATTGTCCTTTTATTGTCCTTTTATTGTCCTTTTATGGGTCTTTTATCGGCTAGAAATACAAAACATGGTCAATGCTGGGATTCGAACCCGTGAGCTCTAGCTTATGAGCTGCGAGCTCTAGCTTATGAGCTGCGAGCTCTAGCTTATGAGCTGCGAGCTCTAGCTTATGAGCTGCGAGCTCTAGCTTATGAGCTGCGAGCTCTAGCTTATGAGCTGCGAGCTCTAGCTTATGAGCTGCGAGCTCTAGCTTATGAGCTGCGAGCTCTAGCTTATGAGCTGCGAGCTCTAGCTTACGAGCTCTACCAATGAGCTACTGACTTATCCCATTACCTCTAAAGTAAAACCTTATACCATACTCTGTGAGCTGATTTTGTTTCTGGCAAGCTACAGCTACGAAAACCCTTGTAAGTGTCAGCTTACCGGACTTGAATCAGTGCTAGAGTTCTGATATTGGGCAATCCAAGTGAACTTCTCGGGATCCAATCTGGGAATCGGTGTGGATACTGGTGTTGACGATTGAGTGATTGGAGTAGAGGAGCCAAATAGTGAAGAAGTTGGCGGTTGGTTGAGAAGGGAAAATCCGGGGAGGACTTGAGCCAATGTGGTCGGTCGCATATGGGCCAAGTAGAGTCGATAGACGGCGAATGGATCTGATAGAGAGGTGTCGGGGATGGCATCAAGCCTGCAAAATCTGTTTCCTGTTTTGGTAATCACTCAATGAAATGAATGTGTTCGATTGCAGATGATTTTATGACTGATCAAACCTGAAAGGATTTGTGATCGGTTGAATGGGAACCGGTCGATGGAGTAACGACGGGGTCGATGGCAGTTCTCCGGGAGGACAATCAGCCTCGCCCGATCCCACCATGTCGAGAGAATAAACTGAATTTCAAAATGGAAAGCTTTTTAAAGCAATGAACGAAAGTTTGGGTGTACTTTTTCCTTTTTCGAAGCTGGCTTTGCTCATCAACAACAGGTGATAATAATAAGAATTGTGGAAAAAAAATGATTGGATACAGGTGAAGAGGCATGAAATTTATAGTGAGAGTCGCTTTAAGCTACATTCCGCAGTTCATCGTTTGTGGTTCATTTTTCTGGCTACGAATGGAGCAAGGGAAGAAGTTACATGGTTTAGGATGGTGAGGAATGCTGGTTATCGCTAGCACAGCCTACAGCACAATCAGCCTACAGTCTTTCCTGTTACAGTTAATTGCTGCTACGGCTACGGTGTCGGGTAGCTAGGCTGAGCTTACGGTACTCGTTACCGTCAGCCGTAGCCCAGTTACCGTCAGCCGTAGCCCAGTTACCCTCAGCCGTAGCCCAGTTACCGTCAGCCGTATCCCAGTTACCGTCAGCCGTAGCTCAGTTACCGTCAGCCGTAGCCCAGTTACCGTCAGCCGTAGCCCAGTTACCATAGGGGCTCAGCCTAGTTACCCGGCACCGTAGCCGTAGCAGCAATTAACTGAAACAGACAAGACTGTAGGCTGATTGTGCTGTAGGCTGAGCCTCACGGTTACGGTAACCGACGCACGCTTTAGAGCTGCTACCAGTCGATACTTGGAAAAGTCTAACAAAACGACTAAGCTTGTGAGTAACAAGGAAATAGACTTTTGAAACTAGACCAAGACTCTCGTATTATAATAAAGAAGTGAAGAAAGCAAAAAAAGTAGATTTCCGTGGAGGGGTTTGAACCCTCAACCTTTCACTTTCCGACTCGACTCGACCGCAATTGATCTAACCATTGAGCTACCTTAGCTACCATTCGGTACCTTAAATTACCAAGAGAAAGTGAGAAAGACAAAGGGGAAGAAGAAAGAAAGAAAGGAAGAAGATTTAAAGATCAAGAATAGATCGAACCGACTTTTGAAACTTTAGCTTATAAAATTTAGTCATTTTCCAAAATTCCAAAGCAGTTTTCCAATTTTCCACTTTTGAAAAGACAAAAAAACAAGAAACTATAATATATAAGGTACTAAGAAAACAAAATCAAAACTTTAAAAAGAAAACGAAGAACACTTTTTGCAAGTTGAAAGGAAAATGAACTAAAGCTCTAGTAGGGATGGGATCGAATCGACCTCGACACATCCCACGGTCAACTAGGGAAAGCTCGATTCGGGAGATTGACACTGACCAACATTCGAAATGAAAAGAGAAGAAAGAAAGGAAAGGAAAGAAAGGAAAGGAAGGAAGGAAAGAAAGGAAAGAAAGAAAAGAGGAGAAAGGTGGTAAAAAGAGAAGAAGAATCAGGGGTTAGACCTTGAAATGGGAATCCGGGGAGGGTGAGGTGAGAGAGGGTGAGAGCGGTGGTTCCCCTCTCTCAAATCGGGGGCACAGGGTCAAGCGGCTCGAAGCGGGACAGCGAAAGTGCGGTTGAAAGGAGCCTGTACTCTTTTGTATTTCGGGGGTGAGATTCGGGTGAAAGCGTGTCAGTGTGGATGGAGAGTGAAACTCCGCGCGCTTTCCGAGGTCGACCCGATCCCCCACACATCCCCCCGCCACAAGCACCAAGGCCGGCACCACCCAAATCGCTTTGGACGTTGGGTTTCCCGATTTCGCACATCGAACCTTTGAGATTTGTGTGAATTTATCTGCTTTTCGGTTATCTTACTAGAGAAGAGTGCTAGATTGCTGTGGGGTTTTAAAACGAGACCCAGCCCGATCGAAAATCAATAGAAAATCGAAGAAAATCGAAGAAAATCAGAGAAAATCGAAGAAAATCAATTTTTCAATAGAAAAACCAACGGGGAATCTGAATCTGTAGCAAAAAATCTGTTGAATAACTCGAAAACACAAGTTTTCTCAAATCAAAGTCTTTCCTGAACACTCTTAGGTCGAGTTTACGCGTTTCTCGAAACTCATTGGTGTCAATAAAGAGTTCAAATGCGATTCCAAAATAACCACATGAAAACCTAGCTTAAATAAAGCAAAAAATAGTATAAGAATTTGTGAAAATCAAAAATATCATTGGGAAAAAGAAAAAGCAGAAAAAGGTTTGTCAACTGGGGAACTCGAACCGACCACGAAAAATCGGACTCCAAGGCTCGATATCCAACCACACTATTCACTACACCAAGGCCGTTGCTGAAGGGGAGTCTCTAAACTAGCTGAAATGGGATCGTGTAAACTCATTCAAGATTGTAAAGAAAAAACTTCGATGCCAGAAATCTTGCTTTTGCGAGCTATTCAGCAAATTTTGTTTACAGATTCGGATTCCTCATTTGATTTTCTAGCGCTTTTTGAAACCCCGCAGCGATCTAGTACTCTTCCCTAGTCAAGTGAATCGAGGATAGAGTGTGTTCCTCGTGAGTTTTTCCTCGTTGCAGAATTTGGAAAGCTTTCCGTAAGTTTTCCTTGAGATTCTTTCCAATTTACTTAATTTGATCTCATTCGTTTCTTAGTTTTGTTGTCCCATTGACTGGGATTAAAATTACGTTGTAAAGACAAAATCTAAAGGAAAGCTAACGGTAGCTTTCCAAATAACCCTTTGGAAAACGCTGTTCTCTGTAGATCTGTAACTGTGCCCTGTAACTGTGCCCTGTAACTGTGCCCTGTAACTGTGCCCTGTAACTGTGCCCTGTAACTGTGCCCTGTAACTGTGCCCTGTAACTGTGCCCTGTAACTGTGCCCTATAACTGTGCCCTGTAACTGTGCCCTGTAACTGTGCCCTGTAACTGTAATTCAGTTATGATATAAAATTAGATTCAAAAATGATGGGCAGATCGAGAGTTTTTCCATGATAGATCCGAAATAAGTTTATCAAAAGAATAAATAAAGTATAAAATCCAAAATTCTAATGGATTATGATTGAAATTGAATGAAAACTTAATAAATAAGCGTATAAATAGCGATTAATAGCGATTAATAGCGATTAGCGTTATCTATCACATGTAAAGTAGGGATTACCCGTTGGTGATGATGAAAAGGATAAAAGACATTGTGAAAGGATGGGAAAGGATGGGAAAGCAACTTCGGAAGTAAGTTAAGCAAGTTAAGCAAGTTAAGTAAGTTACAATGTACGGAAATTTAAGCTTTGTACACATCGTCGATCGTAATCTCGTGGAGATTTTTGTGGTGGAAGTGTAGAAGTCGAACGATGCTTTCTTTGAAGGTCTAAAATCTTTAAAATAAACGAGTTAGTTGTTGGAAAGTTATGAAACTGTTATGAAAGCCTATGAAAGCCTATTTTATACTACTGCAAAGTATTAAACAATTAGATTACTGTAATTGTAACTGATTGTGAGAGTAGATTTTCATGTGCTAGACGGGAAGCATTTAAAGTAGTCTAGGAGCTTCAGATGAATGAGAAATTCTTGATATTTCTTGATGGTTCGCAAGTTCTGATTTCTTTTATCAAACTCTAATCAATTGATTGTTTATTATAAAAGCTCTACTTACAGTAAAATGCTTTTCGAAATACATAATTGAATCAGCGCATTGCCGCATCCAATAGCACATCATCAACCACAAGAGACGACCTGAAAACGGAAATTTGTGTGCAAGGCCAATCGCCAAGATCAATTTAACAATTTGTTTTGAAAAATTTTTATTTACCGTATTTGGTCCTTTGTTTTATCTTGAGGGGGATCTCAAAAAAAAAGCTGGAGTGAAAATGGATTGATTCAAGTGCCGAACTGTCCGAGAGGTGATCGAATGTCGCTCCAATCTCGAGGATCGGATCAATATTGTTGGGGATGCAATCAATGTGCAATCGATGCAATCAATCTACAAGGAACTTCTAGACTCCATTCGTACCATTCCGATGAACAATTGAGGATTCAAGGCTCAAGTTCGTCACGATTCTCAAGTTCTCAAGTTCATTCATCTGTGGGCAAACGGAAATTCGACAATCAAATTTTGTGTGGAAGAATTGGAGTCATCGTTGATTGGAACTTTCACAAGCCATCATTGATTGGAACTTTCACAAGCCATTGTTGATTGGAACTTTCACTTGCGTCAAGTTGAAGTGCTTGAAGTGCTTGAAGTGCTTGAAGCTCTGTGAATAGGAATTCAAGCTCATGCAATTAAAGGCCTCTGATGTACTGTTGAGATCGACGAATCACTCTTTGCAAGTAAAAAGCAAGTAAAATCAAGTGGAAAATGAGCGGAAAAGATTCCCCTTCAGCTAAATTTTCTCTGAGATTCCCCCAGATAACACAAAAGTATTCTGTATTTATTCTAATAGAAACGCAGCCTCCAATAGAAACGCAGCCTCCAATAGAAACGCAGCCTCCAATAGAAACGCAGCCTCCAATAGAAACGCAGCCTCCAATAGAAACGCAGCCTCCAATAGAAACGCAGCCTCCAATAGAAACGCAGCCTCCAATAGAAACGCAGCCTCCAATAGAAACGCAGCCTCCAATAGAAACGCAGCCTCCAATAGAAACGCAGCCTCCAATAGAAGCGCAGCCTCCAATAGAAGCGCAGCCTCCAATAGAAGCGCAGCCTCCAATAGAAGCAATTTTTTGGAATGATTGAAAAATCGAATAAATACGGTAAGTCTGAATCACTCGAATTTTCAGTTTGACTCACAAAAAGAAGCACTTGTAGCATTTTTTACGAAACTTACAATGAATCTTGTTGATCCCGTCTAGTGAAGGGAGTTCATGCGCCGCATAGAAGTGAGCAAGCAAATGATTCTCCTGAAATTCACTTTATGCATTGTATTCTCAAGTTTGTTTACTAGAATTCAATTTTACTAGAATTCAGTTTTAAATTGATACAGTTTTTGTTACAAATTAAATATAAGCCGGTTCAAATTCATAGAATTAAAGTTCTTTTAGTGTCACCTGCAACAATGCCATCAAAAAGGCGGTGATGTGGATTGATGTGAGCGCAAATGGCAATTGTTGTGGCCAGGCCACTTCCTTCTCCAACACCATTTTATGGTATTTAACGAAAAACTCCATTTGCTCCAATCCAAAAGCGCCAGTCGAACGAAAATCGGTGGTCGGATCAGTGGTGCGCTGAAATTCTCGCAGTAGACATGACGTATTGACATTTAAAGGTTTTAACGACTTTTATCGCAGCTCTTCTTGTGATCTAAAAGCCTTGGAAAGCTTGAAATGTTTACCTGAAATCCCAGCAATGTCCAGTCTCCTTTCGGCTCAAACTCGTACTCAGCGTGCAATTTCCAAAGTTCATCCAACGCGTCTCGGTGTTCTTCTATCGATTTCTCGACTTTTATCGCAGCTCTTCTTTTGATCTAAAAGCCTTGAAAAGTCTTTTCACTTATCTTTTCTCACCTCTTCATTCAAAACCCCATATTTTTCATCAGAAGTAGTTAAAAATTGAAGAACATAGCGCGAAGATTCGTCCTGAAATGTCCTTTCTATGAAAGTTGCTACTGTTTTATTTGTTACTTCACTTTTATCATCAATGTTGAGCTATAAATGTTTAATTTTGTTTATAAACTTTAATATTCAGTGTGATACCTCTTGAAATATAAAAATAAAGCAAGTTTAAGTGTTGAAAAATCAAAATAAAAGGAAAGGCAAAGGATGGAATTGATCCCGAACAAGAAAACCAGGCAACCGTTTTGTATGAAAGCCCCCTACCTACTGCGCCACCAGTTCACATGCGTCTGGCATTAAAGAAGCCTTATAAGGGAACCAAGTTACCAATTGCCACTGCACAAATGGCTAGAAAGAAAAGGCGCACAAATGGCGGTTTTAAGGAGAGGTGTTCGCACAACCAATACAACTATGGTGCATCATTAAATACACCTATGGTGTATTGATTAGCGTCGCTGTTACCATGGTTACGCTGTTACGCTGTTAAAGCGTCGCTGTTACGCTGTTAAAAGTCCAACCCACGTGGGTTCGACTTCGACGTCTATCTTGAGACACCTAGTGCAAGGTTACACTACCCCGGAAAGTGCAGAAAGACTTAAGATCACACTCTGAGTGTAGCACTAGTGTAAACTTACACTCTTGCAAGTTGCTTAACCTGTTGCTTAACTGCAAGCTGCTTAACCTGTTGCTTAACTGCAAGCTGCTTAACCTGTTGCTTAACTGCAAGCTGCTTAACCTGTTGCTTAACTGCAAGCTGCTTAACCTGTTGCTTAACTGCAAGCTGCTTAACCTGTTGCTTAACTGCAAGCTGCTTAACCTGTTGCTTAACTGCAAGCTGCTTAACCTGTTGCTTAACTGCAAGCTGCTTAACCTGTTGCTTAACTGCAAGTTGCTTAACCTGTTGCTTAACTGCAAGCTGCTTAACCTGTTGCTTAACTGCTTAACCAAATAAGCATTGAGAGTATGTATGAAATAAGAAATAAGCATTGGAATTATCTTTACGTGAGTAATTCTTAAGCTATAGTATACCTGTATTGCCAATTCTTGTTCCAACTCCTCTTTACTCATCGACTCGGTTTTGGCGGCCTCGATGCAATGGTGGAGACGATTGAGCGAAGCGGCATTGATCAACCCAACATCAACCTTAAAAGATAAAAAGTATAATAGAAATTTGCATCACTAAATACTTTTACTTTTGTTATTTGAGTCTTGAATCTCTAACTGTTACAGTTATAATCTTTTAGCCTTCGTGACTTCAAAACTTTTCAAATAAATTCAAGAATTTTTCATTTCTTCATCAAACTTACTAAAAATACGAAAAATAATAATACCGTATTCTCTCTAATAGTAGTGCGCACTACTATTTTTTCAACCCCCTCCTGGATCGCAATACTATTAGAGAGTGCAGTACTATTAAAGAGTTTTATCATTTACCAAAGTAAGACAGATACAGACAGATAAGATTTGTTCCAAAAATTCTTGCAATTCTTTCACGTACTCCTTTGGCTCCTTTTGACATACAGTTGTGGGCCGGCGAGTTGACAATTACCGTAGTAATTGTTTGTATTTGTGTCTTGACAAACAACAAAAAGATGTTTTTGCACTTTGCACAACAATTTTAGATTTTTTGCTAACTTTTTCATGTGAAGAATAGTTGAATAAATGAAAAATGAATAAAAGAAGCCTCGCTTTTGCTTGTAATGCTGTTAATCTAGACCAAATACCGTAATCCAGCTAATCAAGACTACCTTAACCTAGACCAAATACCGTAATCCAGCTAATGTAGACTGATCATCTTATTCAAGGCTGAATTCCTTAAGATTTTATTTGATTCTAAGTGCCTTTCTTCATTCAAACAATTCCCTCGAAACTCGTAAATCTGTTTCCTCATTTCTATCATACTATATTCCTCTCGAGTGCGTTTTTTAAAATGCATTGAGTTGAGAAAGCCGTAGCCAAACCGTTAGTTTACATTCGATCAGCTCGATTTTTGTAGCATTGACTGAACATTGTAATTCCTCATCAAATGATACCAAATTCGAACGGATTAAATGTAAAATAACGATCTGACTACGGTACTTTTTAAGTGCATTGAATAGCTTTAGAATTTCACATAAACATAAAGTCAAAAAGGTTTAGATGAAAAAGAAGCACCAGAAATTAACTGTTAACTGAAATTCAAATTTTCGGGGGGTGCACTACTATTTTTTCAACCCCCTCCTGGACCGCAATACTATTAGAGAGTGCACTACTATTAGAGAGTGCACTACTATTGTAGACTGCACTACTATTAAAGAGTGCACCTCTATTAGAGAGATCAATCAATAATTATAATCAATAATCGGTAATCAATAATTATAATCAATAATCAAATTAATATTCTGAAACTTTTTCAACTTTTTTTCTTTTAAATCTTTTTGCTAAAAATAGTCAAAGCCACGTTTCATTTTTTATTTTTGTCAATGTTAATGTCGCGTAGAATTAATTTTCGAATCTCAATCATGTCTCTCAAAAGAATTCTTTCAAACAAAAAAAACTATCTTTTGTCTCACCAGGAACTGAAAAGTCGATTTGCCGACGAGTTTCGCACAAAAGGAAGCAATTCGAACGAAAGCTCGATCAATTCCCAGCCAGACATAATCCAAAGGACGGTATTTTACCGATATTTGTTTTACCATGATATTCAGTTAACTAGCAGTAGAATATTCAGTTAATTAGCAGTAGAATATTCAGTTAACTAGCAGTAGAATAATCAATTAAATAACAGATGAATATTCAACAAATAACAGTAGAATATTCAGTTAAATAACAGTAAAATATTCAATTATGATTCAGTTATGAAATATGTTTCAAAAATAAGTGGCGAATTGAGAGTTTTTCTTCGTTTTCTTCGTTTTCCGTTTTTCCGATAAGCTGAATGCTAGATGGATTTAATTGAATATTTAATTGAATATTTATTCGAATGAAATAAAGAATAAAGATTCAATTATGACAAAAATGGATCTAAAAATGATTGACAGAAAGATTGAGTGCCGGTTCTTTTTCCCCTCACTTTCCCTTTTCTAGTCGTCTCTTCGGTGTCATTTGGTGTTTAGTGTACTCCCAGGTGGAACAAATCGATCTTTCTGCCACTCGTGCCCTCCCCTGATTACTTTTTGGCACAAATTGACCCCCGGCTTGGTCGGTGTTTGGTTTTTATTTTTTCTTCTACTTCTTCTAAACATTTCATTGGAATAATTGGACTTGTTAAAGACTTTTTAAAGAAAAAGACTTATTAAAAAGTAAATTCTTGTAAAAATTAAGTAAATAGTTGAAAAATTAGAATGATGTAAGCTTATATTAAAATTTGTTTTCATTTTTTGTTTGCAAAAACTTTCATGGAGTCTAAACTACTTACTTAAAGTAAACTTTACTTAAAGTACTTTGGTTTACAGAAACGTAGAGTTCAACGGTTTAAAATTGAAATAACTGTTGAAAATTGAAATTCAAAAAGTGCTATGTTTTGCACGACTCATGAATACTTTTGAATAGTTCTATTGCTCATTTTAAAACACAATTGTGCCTTTAAAATAATTGTGCCTTTAACATAATTGTGCCTTTGCTTTGTCTGTTACTAGTAGTCTATTTTCTAAAGCATTCTTTTAAAATGCCTTATGAAATGATTCGATGCGCATATTCATAGCGCATAGCTTCGGAATGCTTTTGTATAACGGGTTTTCGATAAAAATCGTACTACAATGTCTTTCATGTGTGCTTTTTACGGTAATGCTGCTTTAAATGGCGGTTAGTGAAGGTTGCAAAGAAAAACGAGCTCGTCTAGTCGATTCGCCGACCCTGAAAACCCCTGGGTACAAATTTTCAGTTTAATATCTTCTTTTGAAGCCATTCACAAAGCAAAAGAGAAATGCCAATGACTGCTGAAGGTGTTCTTTGTGTGGTGAGGTAATCGCTCATGATCTGGCATATCTGACTAGCATAAGGGGCTTCCCTTTTCGAGTCGTTAATCCGTGCGTCCAAATCGTCCAGACGGAAGGGCTTGTGGTGGGGATCGCTCATGTCTGGCACGGGCTGGGGACTTCCCTTTTCGAGCCGTTAATCTGTGCGTCCAAATCGTCCAGAATGTAGATGCGTCTGTTATTATGCTCAAATTTTCGGTTTTAGGGAGACTCGGCCTTAATTCCTTTAATTTAATTTAATTTAATTTCAATTCCTTTAATTCCGATTTCCAATGGATTTGGCTCTAATTTGAAGCAAGAATTTTTCCCAATAATTGGCCTTTTCCGAAATTAACACTTTCCCTAGTTTGCCTTTGGCAGAAGAAAACGGAATTGTTCCGATTATTGCCACATTTTAATTGACGTCACACAGTGGCTGGTCACACGGCTCTCTTATCAAAGAGCTCCCATTTATAATTCTAATTGTGTTTTCAGATTTTCCCTATTTTCGTTTTCCAGATTCTTCTCTAAACAAAACTAAACCAAAAAAGCAAAGTAAATTCTTCGTTTATCTCAAAAGAATTTGGCATTCCTAGTTTTGGCATTCCATTCCTAGCCTAAATGATCTCTTCAAAGATTCTTCGATTATCTCAATTCTTCCGGTTGTTTTGTGTTTTCTTTCTTTTTATCACTCAATCTTTTTTTCAACAGAGTCATTCTATTGACTCAGATGATTTTTCGCACGAGAAAACAAAATATTTGAAACTTGTGACAAGATTGGGCTTCTCTTTTTGAGGAATTTTGAAATGTTTTATTGCTTTTTGAGAAATTTCAACCTTAATTTCAAATTGAGCTTAATTTTGAGTTTAATTTCAATTTCAGAAACGAATGCTCAATCGGATAGACAATCAGCCGACCAGAAAATGAAGAATTCATTGAGGTTTATGAGATTTTAAGATAAATTTTCTAAAGTTATGATTTAGAACATTATTCTTGCTGCTCTATTGCTTTTGTTTGACATTTGGCGGTGGAAAGGAGCTGTTCGTGAATTTTATCACGAGGTAAGCGATCAATTGAGCAAAAGCTTAACTTACATAACCTTACTTTCTTTCAAAAGGACTTTTTCTACTATCTTGCTATAAAATTTACTTTATTTAACTTACAAAAGACGAGCCTAAAGATTAGAATCTGTCGATAGCAAGAAGAAATTCAAAATTCTCAACTTTAGATCACAATTCACCTGCCCTGTCACTGATTTCTCAGCCGAATCAATCGGCGAGTGCCCAAATTTGCGTCAAAATGATCCAATGCCATTGAAAACGATTCAAATTGATGGAATTGATAAAGACTTGTCATCGATTTTGGAAGCAGCCAATAAACAAGTAAGTTTTTATGTTCTCTAAAATGGTTGAAGAGTATGATAACATTGAAAATCCTGTGCAGTTATGTTTGACTGACTGGCTAAGAGCCCTGTTGCTTAGTCGAGAGCTAGTCCAGAGGCCAAGAGCCCTGTTGCTTATTCGGGAGCTAGTCCAGAGGCCAAGGGTTCGATCCCACCGGCTATCCCAATGGTTCTTTTTGTCTAGAAATAGATGGTTTTTTTTTCTTCCCTACATTACATTTAGGGAAGAACATTTATCTTTAGGGCTTAAGGTTTGTGTTTGTGTATTGTTTGTACCAAATTATTTGTGTGAATAAATATATTTTTAAAGCCTATCATTTCCAGGCTGAAACCACCACCGAGGCTCCAAAACAGCCAATTGTCACCTTTGATGAGTGGACGAAGGAGAAATTGAAACAAGAACAGAAGCGGACTGAAGAAAAGGTAGGATTTAGAAGTTTAGCAAAAAAGAAGTAAGGTTTAGTTCAACGTTGTAACTTTGGTTAGCAATGTTGCTTCTCCAAAAGTTAGACTTTTGATTCTCTGTCAAGTTAGCCAAAATTAAAGAGAGTTTTTCAAAGATCTACCAAAGTCTTATCTTGTCAAGAATGTTTTTAAAAGTTTAAGCTTTGTAAACGACTTTCAGATTGCTTTCAACTCTCAGACAACTCTCAGAAAACTTTCAGATTGCTAGCCAACCGAACGGAAATGGAAATCCGACCCATTTGCGAACAGAAAGCTCACCAACATCGAGAAATTACGCCTCAAAGGAGTGCAATGCAAAAATTGTACTTGCAAATCCCGAAGCGGAAAACACAAAGGCTTTACTCAATGATAAGGTTAAAACATGACAAAAATAGCAAAAAAAACACTGTAGCTGTTATTTTTAAGTGGTGAATGCCATTCTGACTTTAAACTTTACAGGAGAAAGACGAGTACATGAGAAATCCTTGTGAAGTGGTGCAAAAGTTCTTCATCATTGAGCTCTGTGAAACGATACAGGTAAGAAGCTTTGAAAATCATTGAAAAATTGAAAATAAAACCTCAATTCCCGCAGTCAGAGTACGCAAATTTCCAATGCTAAATCCTAAAATACATCTAAGCTACCGTACTCAAGACGGCGTCTGCCTTTTCCCCTAAAAAAAGAAGCCCGATCGGTTCAAAATTTATTCGAAGAATCGTCGACCTGCCTGGCGCTTGCGCGTCTATATTCCCCTTTTCTCCATTCCGTTATAAAATTTGGTTTATTTTTAAAATTTCCCTTCTCCTTTTAGTGTTTCCACCGCTGTTTCTATTAAAAATTGTTAAAATTTTAGTGTTTCTGTACTTTTCCCGGTCTTTCCACTTTCTTTTTACGGATCAAACTGTCTTTTTACCGATTAAACTATTAAAAGTCTAAATGTCTTTTCTCTATAAACGCTAGTCAATCCAACCCAGCCGCGAATCGTCTTGTTATTCCTCTCGTTTTGGCAAATCATTTAGAATTAGTGTTTCTGGGTTAAAAGATTTAGCAGTTTGATTAAGATTTCGACCCAGAATTTGAATTTTTTTGTTTAAATGTACGCCTTTTTTAAATTTTTTAAGCCCAGATTTACGTTACTCATTGCTGAAAAATATCTATCTTTATCTTTTTTTAGCCTCACACAATAGAGCTTGGAAACTTTGAATTGTTTTCTGGTGGACCGAAGGGAGTACGCGTGTCGTCGGCCGAGCGTTTCCCAGCCGCTGAATGGAATCCAATCATTGAGGTAAAAATAAGTTGGGATTTAGCTTTAAAATAGACTAATGAGTAGTACAGTAACTAATTGTACGGTAAAAGTATTAAAATCTTAAGAAAAAACTATCTGTTTCAGGTAGAAGCTCAAGACACTCGAACTCTCCAATCGTTTAGCCTCAACAAAGCCGGGGTTTATGCAAAATTTTTGAAGGTTTCGAGTAAAAAAAACCGAATAAATATCAAAATTTAGATCGAATTACTATCTCACTATGGAAAGGAGCATTATTGCACGTTGACGATGTTGAGAATCTTTGGAATGTCGATCGTGGAAGAGTACGAAGCTGAAGCAGAGATCGCCGCCGGACGGATTGGAGCCGCTTCGATGAACACTGCACCTCAACCACCAAGTTCGACAGCGGTTGATAAGGTAAGATTTTATGGCGAAAACTAGAAGCTAAAAGTATTACGTGAAAGAATCGAACTTGGGCAAAAAATCTATAAGTTTGGTTTGGTCTCATTCCGAAAGGCAAAGGCAAGTGCTCGACTTTCTCAAGTAAAAAGTTAGCCCGTAACTTACAATTAGAATAGCCAACTATTCTAGATAGTCTGTCCTGAACTCACGAAGTTATCGCTCATGAAACAACCTATTCTTACTTGACATAGCTTGCTTGATACTTGATGACTTTTGAATTAGATAACTGGTATAGTTTTACTACAAACTGTAGCCAACGGCTTGAAACTCAATGTGGATGATTAAATTATTGCTGGTATTAAATTGAACTTGTGGCTTCTTAACTTTAACTTATCACAAAGCAAAGTAATTTTTGTGTTATCTCGTTTTTACTCTGCAACTTTTCAGGCCGGAATTCCTCTCTCGTCCGCTTTACCGATTGAATCTACGGAAAAATTGGCTGAAAAAGCAGCTGAGAAAAAAGAAGAACAAAAAGCGATTGAACCCGTGAAAAAGTCGACAGCTGTTGACCCGAGCAATGAATCGCAATCGACTGCCGGGAGACTCTTGAAGAAAATCGTGAATGTGGTCATTGAGAAGTTTGTGCCGGAAAAAGAAAAGTGGGTAAACTGTTCAAATAAACGATCAGGTGTCAAGGAAAGTTTGGGTTAAGAAAGGGGAAAGAGAGAATTCGTTTGTTGAAAGTTTGAACTTGAAAAAATTCTCAAAGGGTTTAGAAAGGTCAAAATTCAAAAAGGATTATAAATTTATAGAACTACTGCAAGTAAGCAGTAACTACAAGAATCTTTAGAAAAATTTGGATAGATATCAAAATTGGGAAAGCTTTGCCAGATCATCTTTCCAACAATCCATTTGTAGTAGCTTTTTCAGCTCTCGCGTAGTTTCCGGTTATTTTGAACGGCTTTTCACGCTTTGAAGACCTATAAATTTGTCTAAAGATTAAATTTTTGTTAACTTTTTATATCATTCTACAGAGGACATTTCAAGCTTTCAAATGTTAACAAATAGAGCTTAACTCGATTTTTCATTCAAATGTAAACCAGGCGACATGACACTCGAGTTGGATAGGCCTCATTTGCTCAGGGTTGGCTCTGATTTTCTTGAATTTAATTATTCAATCAAGCTCTATTTGGTATCATTTGAAAGTCTGAAATGTCCTCTGTACAATGATATAAAAAGTTAACAAAAATTTTATCTTTAGACAAAGTTATAGGCCTTTAAAGTGTGACGATCCGTTCAAAATACCCGGATTTTTCCAAAAGATCCGAAAACTACCCAAGAGTCGCTTTTTTAGAAAGATTTCACTTGTTTTAATAATAGCAGTGTCTATCAAGATTTAGAATTCATCCAGTCATAAGAATTGTGCATACAGTAGCTTTTAATACAAGGGTTATTGCAAGGCTTAACTGTAATTTTAAGTGCTCTTATTTAATGCATTCGTTCTAACGGAGAAACTCAGGTAAATTAAACTGAAAGCTCAGATCCTGAATCTTCTGGATAAAACCTTTTGCCTTATTCTAACTTGGGTAATTCTGTTTCTGCTTCAGGAAGCGCTCTCACTCAACCTGGTCTTCCACATGTCTCACTTGCCCATTGCAACAAAACATGACGAGTTCTGTTCGAGTGCAGCTTTTCTGCCAACTAATCACACTAACGCAAAAAGAAAGGTAAAGTGGGAAATAAATTTTGGTTATCGCTTTGTTTAGGACAACAAAAGCGATGATGCCGAATCAGAGGTTGATTGATCGTCATTGGTCAAGGATGAGATATCGACGAGTTAGAACCGCTTTTCTGCAGAGATTGACATCGAAACAGAATCTTTGTCTGGTACCTGAGGCTGCAGCAACAAAAGCTGTTCCAAAGGAGGAACCACCAGGTAAATTCATAAGAAAAAAATGAGAAATTGCTTTTCATAGTTGAATCAGAGGTTTTCAACTGGGCCCTAGGGTCTAGGCCAGACCACCAAAGTTTTGGTATCGTACATTTGATGCGCGCCCGCCTCTTTTCTCATTGGCAATCCAACTTTGACTTTTAATATCTTGGTGTTGGGCCGCCCAATTTAAATATTCTTGGTATCATTAGATTCCCTGTCGATTGATATAAAAACTATTTAAATTGGACGGCCCAACACCAAGATATTTGAGCTCAAAGTTAGATTGCCAATGGCAGAAGGGGCGGGGCGCGTATGAAATGTCTCACAGTGCCAAAGTTCAGTCAAAAATCTAGGCCTGGCTCTGGCTGGCTGTTGTGCAAGTCTGCAGTAAAGCTCAGTAAGACAAGGAGCTGGCTTCTGACATGACCCAGAAAATTGCTTTTGGAGCATCCTACCCAGATTCTAGACAAGAAACGCCGTTTTTCGAAAAAGAAAAAAGTGTAACTGAAAAGCTTTAGTGATCGAGACACCAACTGAGACTCTGAAACTTGGCAAGGTGACAATTCCCGAGATCACAACTCCTCCACCAGCACAGCCTGTAGAAGTTGAAGCAAAGCCAAGCGAAGAGAAGATTGAAAAATTACCACCACCACTGCCCACTGTCGTCCCGCCGATGCCAAAAGAGTACTTGGATCCACTGCCAGCATCGTCTTTAAGTCAAAAGGTTTGTTAGAATTAATCCAGGAACATTAAAAGTTTTGTTAAAGCCTACCAAAGCTATGTTTAGGAATCGATCTTCATAAAGTTGAACAAACGCATAGCTCTCTTGGAGTTGAACATGTCACTTTCATCCGAGTACCTCTCCGAATTAAGTCGACAGTATGTGGCTCAATCGGAGATGCAAGAGAAAAATATTGTTAGAGTGAGTTTTGTCTTCAAACGAAAAACACCTAAAATTTGTAGGCGAAAATCATTGCAAACGAGGCCGTTCAAAATGCGACAGCTCATATCAACATTACATTGACGAATCAGGTGAAAGCAATTTGGAAATATGTAGACAAAGTTGTTTCAGCTTGAAATGATGCGAAAAGAAGTTGATCAATTGGCGAAATTTTTGAGGAGTGTTCGGAAGGAGAGTGCTAATCTACAGTTCAGGTATAGAAATGGGATGAGAAAACAGAAATGAAAAGTGTACAAAGGCGGTTTAACGTGTAGTTGAGACTTTAGAAACCTTTGAATCATTCTGAATTAGTTTCTTGATCATTAGAAAGTCCTTGTAAACATAAAATTAAAATTTTTGTTTACAGAATTTGACCAAAAATTTTCGAATAAGAAATTGTCACTTTTTGAGAATATATGAGATATTTTATATCTATTTAAAATAGATATAAAGATACTATTTCCAAGATTCAGACACGTCTTTTTTCAATCTTTAGCTTTTATTATCGAATTTGATTTATTATCTTATAAAATAGCCGCTTTAACTGGATGCTAGTCAAGTATTTTTGTTACGAACATCGTCACGTTAAGTGATAGTCAAAAATCGGCCCCTGGCACATCCGTCCCCATTTCTCAAAAACGGTGCATCAGATTGGGATGAAATTTTGGCGTATAATCCACAAAGCTTCAATTGTTATTAGAAAAAATTTGAGAAAAAGTTATGTTTTAGTTTTTTTCCAAAAGTTCGCCCGAAGACGCCGCCATTTTATATTCCCCAATGCAATAGTTTTGAGAGAATAACCATTCAAAGTACCGGTTAACTCAAGCCTTAGATAACTTGCATCTTGTAAATCATCCAATTCTTTCATCTTTCAAACTTTCATCATCCAATTCTTGCAATTGTTTTTAGTGTAATCAAAAATGATTCTAAAACGATTCACTCAATCCTATTTTAGACTTGCTGCTCATGGATTCCGAGAAGAGCCAGAAGATCCAACCTTTTGCGAGACTGAAGAAGGAGAGGAAAACGACGATGAACTAGCGATTGGACACTACACAATAACACATAGCAGAGATGGGTTCTGGACGGTAAGTGGAGAAATCTTGATGATTGATAGAGTTCATTTTAGACTGAACAAGTTGTTTACATTGTGGTCACCGTGCAAGTGATCACTGCTGTGGTGCTCACCGTGTTGCAGGTAAACTGAGAGCATTGTAACATTGAAATTTCTTGTTCAGATAATCTTCCGGCGAGCTCCAGTTATCAAGAACTCGAATGGACCAACGTTGACAATTGATGATGTAAACAGGATGATCGAAGAGAAGCTGAAAGAAATGCAACGACAGAAAGAAGTGAATAAAGAAGGTGAGATGAGTTTAAAGGTTTTATTCAAAAATATCTCTACAAATATCATAGTTTATTATGTAGCTAAGATTATAGTGGTTTAACGTGTAGTTTAAGCTTTAAGAACCTTTAAATCTGGTTTATGGAAACGGTATGAACCGTAATCGCATCTTGAATCCATCACCAAGAACTGGCAAGTCCCATTCTTGAGTACTGGCACTTAATCTTATCAAGTTCTTGAACTTGATTCAAACAAAATACAAATTGGTTCAATAAGTCTAATTCTAGATACTGGAGAAGCTGGCGCATCAGGAGCGGCTGCTAAGCGTAGAAAACGAAGACGGAGAAAACAACAACGAGAAACGGATAGCGCTGTTGATTCAAGTCTACCAACAGCTTCGATCACTCACAGTGATGTTGAAGATCGAGAACGGTTAGTGAGAAAATTAATCCTATATTATATCAAAAAAATACTTCAAAAGAACTATGGTAATGCGTTTAGTTTAGAATAACCGGAAATGAATGGATAGTTGTGTGTTGAATGTGAGCTTGAGCTTGAGTTTGAAGTTTTCAATAGATTAGTCATTTCATTAGTGCTATCAGTACTTATCTACTTGTTTTTAAAAAAACTTTGCAAAATATAAAGGCTTTCACTTCAGACATTTGGACATCCTTCAAGCCGAGATGGACGGCACACTTGGTGCTCATATTCTGGAGTCTTCGACTGCATGTTTGGTTGAACCGATCTCGGGTTAGGTTATGAAGATGAGATTTTCATATTTTGCTCAATTTTCGTAGAAGATTTTCTTACCAGCTGGGAAGTAGGAGCTTGAGTTTGAAACGAGGCATCTCTTGTGGAAGGTGTAACTTGGAATCCCCCACAATTACTGTAGTTAATCCAATTTAAGGCAAATCTCTGATAGGAATATCAATGGATCAATGGGAGAAAGTTTTTTTCTTAGATTTTGGAAAACTATTGCACCAACTATTAGTACCAGATTTATGAGAATCTCATCTAACTAGCTCATCTAGCACTAACAGATCTCACTGCTTCAATACTCCACCGAATTTGTCCAAGTTTAGCTGGCTGATACCAGGTTAACTGTTGGTATCAGATCTATGAGAATCTGAGCTGATCTAGCTCGAAAAATTAGTAATAGCAAGTGGACTTGCTTATCGATATTATCGATACAAACGGAATGCTCATGTTTGATCGTTCAGATCTCAATTTCTAGACAAGCTATCAATCTGAAAATTATTTCATTGGAAAGTCAAGAATATCAGTTTTTGATTGCTATTTTATACATAGCGACTTTTAATGAGTAAGCACCTCATAAACCTCATCGATTATTGATAAGCTTATCGATATTTGAGTATCGAGAAGTATTGATAAGCTTTTTAAGGCACTCGCCTATGAGAATTTGCTATGTGTGAAATAGCAATTAAGAGCTAACATTCTTGGCTTTCTAATGAAACAATTTGCAAATTGATAGCTGTTCTAGAAACCGAGATCTAAACAATCAAACATGAGCTTGCCGTTTGTATCGATAATATCGATAATATCGATAAGCAAATCGAATAGCAAGTCTCGCTCGAGGAAGCAACTGGAACCGAAACATTGTCCTAACAAACAATAAAACTCCCACTTTGGAAAAAGTCGTACCAAACTCAAACAGAAACTCATAAACTTTATGCTACGGTACAATTTATCGAGCCTAGTTTTCTCTCTATGACCCACCTGGTAAAGCTTCTTCTATTTCTTCTATTCTCTTTATTCATCGTCGTTTAGTGGCACTTATAGTTAGTAAGACTTATCGGTGTGTGTCCCTGTGATATTCTTTTTGTGCTCTTGCCTTATCCATTGACCAATATTTCCCCGCGTGAATTAAAAAAAAAGTCGGTATTCAATTCTTTTGTTACTCTTTGATCTCATCGTTTAAAACGGGTTGTGCTTGGTGTTTCAAAAGTTTTCTATCAATTTTTTTTTTCACAATTTTTCAACTCAACGATCTGTACCCTGGCTAGAAGTGTAGAATAGTTCTATTTTTCTAGATTTCTTTTCTAGATTTCCTTTCTAGAGTTCTAGATTTTTTCTTGATATATTTCTATTTCTATTTCTTTTCTGAACTTTTTGATTGGGTGAACATGGTACATTTTCTTTTGCTCCGATTTTTTCACACAAACTTTCATTTGGGCGTTTTTTTTCTTTCGATTGGTGTTTTTCACATTATGAACTAGAGAATAAAATTTATTTTTGAAAAATGACACATTGTAAAGAATGGTTTTCTTACAAGACTATAAAATTCTTAAAAACTAAGCTTACATGATTGTTCAAAGCAAGCAAGTTTAGGCGGTAATTGATCGGTGTTGAAATTGTCAAAGATGCTATGGTATTCAAGGTATAAGCTTTTCTAATGCATGTCTAACCGTTGAACAAGTCAACAAAATTCTAACAGGATTGAGTTGAGTGTTGTGTTAAAGCCTTTTGCCTTTGCCTTTGCCTTTTGAAGTTAGTTAGTAAGCTGGACTAAACCGAAGTGTTTTTTTTAAAAGTTGTTCTCTAGAAAAAGCTACCGGAGTTTGGCTAAAAGCATCTGGCCCTCTGGCTAAAAAAGAAAGAAAAAAAAGGAAAGAAACTAAAACTATTTAGATCTTTATATCAAATCTTTTCGATCTTACTTTATATCAAAATCTTTATCTCATCACCTCTAACAGTTTTTCCATATCTTTCTCTGATACTCCATCACAATGCAAAACATGCTTGTAGCTTTCTTTGTTAGTTTTTTGAGTTCAACCTAGTGATGAGGGCATCCTTTTAGAGGGGAACAGAAAACCCGTTTCTTTTTGTGGCTAAATGCTCTCTCAGCCCAATCTTTTGCCTACTTTTCGACTTTCTTTCTTTTTTTCCTCCAATCTTCGTCTTTTGGTCTGGTTTTTTCCATCCCCATTTGCATTATTTGAAATGAATGAATGCTCTTGATCACCTTTTACAATGGATATAACTAGATCATAGTTATATCCATTTTAGGTTTTCAAATTTCAAACTTTAAAGGCATTCTTGATCAAGAAGCAATCAGTTATTCACTGATTGCTTTTTACTTATAAAGAGTTCATAAATTTTTATGGGAGCTCTATGATACTTTCTATTATATATTATACTGTTCACTGAATAAGATTCTCTAGAAAAATAGTAGAATTGATCGTTTAGGGTCTACAGAGTGTTCAATAATTACCCGGACTTGGTATTTTATGTGTAATTCAGCACTCGGATATGCAATCATCTCACGCTTTGTTTTAATAGAAAATTAAAATATTTTTCTACAATAGCTTCTTAGGTTTAACGAAAAAAACTTTTTCTGCCTTTTTTATCAAATCTTAAAGTTGGCAGCCAAGAGTTTCTTGGCGCCGGACTTGTTTTTAGAGAATTTAACAAAAATTTTAATGTTCAGGAACGTTTCAGCACTAAATTTAGTTTTATTAGGTTACATTTACTTAAAGTTTAGTGATTTGCATTTAACAGAAACCGAAAAATGAAAAATTTCGGTTTACAGCCTGATCTTTTGACAAGCCAACGCTTAGGCCCATATGAAATCATGATTCTCCCAAAAATAGCAAAATTTTGCCTAATTTGAGTGTCACGTTACCTTCCGATTCGTTTGAGAATTTATAAAGCGTTCAAAGACATGCCCAATCTTTGGCATTTTCTGGAAGTGAAAGGTCAAAAACAAGTCCGGCGCCAAGCAACTCCCGACTGCCAACTTTAAGGTTTGATAAAAAAGGCAGAAAAAGTTTTTTTCGTCAAACCTAAGAAGCTATTGTAGAAAAATATTTTAATTTTCTATTAAAACAAAGCGTGAGATGATTGCACATCCGAGTGCTGAGTTACACTTAAAATACCGAGTCCGGGTAATTATTGAACACTCTGTAGACCCTAAACGAGCAATTCTACTACTTTTCTAGAGGATCTTATTCTTTCGAATCCTCAATAAGTTCTTGTTTTAAAAATTTCACCACAAAACTACAGGAATAGCAAATGAAAATGAAATGAGAAACCACGTTTTCGCTTTAATCACCTTTTGAGAGCACGAGATTCTTTGACCCTATCGGTTCATTTCTTATCAAACGAACTTTTCAAAAGAAAGGCTAATTTCTTTGATTCGCCAAAGTCCATTGTCCACTACACAATCTTGTTTTTTCAAAGAATTGCATAGAATATACATAACTTGATATTCTTTGTATTAATCTTTTTACTAACGAGCGGAGGTTCAGGATTGACCGAGATCTTTCAGCTGGAAACAAGTGTACTAAGGGAAACAACGTACTAAGGGTAATTCGGACCCGCTGATTCCGAATATGAAGTCCGTTTTTGCGCAAGTATTGTATATCGTGCGGGATTTGGTAAAGAAGTTTTGCTCTGTGCCTATATAAGGCGCTTTGTGGCATAGACAAAGCTCTGTGCTTTCCCCACCAAGCGTCTTGTGGTGTAGTGGATAACGCGCATGCCTGCTAATGTTGTTACTGCCGGCGTCGTCGGCGGGTCCGAATTACCCTTAGTACGTTGTTTCCCTTAGTACGTTGTTTCCCTTAGTACACTTGTTTCCCTTAGTACACTTGTTTCCCTTAGTACACTTGTTTCCCTTAGTACACTTGTTTCCCTTAGTACACTTGTTTCCCTTAGTACACTTGTTTCCAGCTGAAAGATCTCGGCCAATCCTGAAGCTTCCCTTATAAGTAAAAATCTTTTTACTAATAAGACCCAGATTGGGTGAGGAAAGGGGGAAATGTTTGCTCTTAAAGCCAAAGCGAGTGGGAGAGGAATCCCTCTCCTCGCACCCCTTCACTCCTTTCCCAAAACGATCGACTTAATCAATAAATTTTTAAATCTTTGACCCAAATGTTTTGAGCCAAATGTTTTGATCCAAAAATGCCTTTGCATAGACCAAATACGGAAATTTTACTGACTCTATTTTGACTCTATTTTGACTCTTTTTTTAAACTAAGCTCTATTTCAAACAGATTTCTTTGGACATAGTTTTCATTTATGACTGTTGACCTTTAGACTGTTTTCACTGATAGTTGATAGTGTTTACCTAATCTTTGCAGTACTTAACGTAAATATTGTAATAGTACCCCAGCCCCATAATGACGATGCGGAGCGTTGCGTAGTCTAGCTTTGGACGCGTTTTTCTCGACACTGGTTTATGCTACAATACGCGCTTAGGTATCAAAAAATAGCCCTGAATTTCAGCTATTTTTTGATACCAAAGGCGCATTTTTTGAAAGTACGGGTGCTTTGAAAAAAATGAAATACTAAAAACTACGCGACTACGCGACTACCCGACTGTACGTGGGGGGTGGGGTACTATTACAGTACTATTACAGTACTATTACAGTACTATTACAGTACTATTACAGTATTTACGGTAAGCTTTCCTTTTTCAGTTGAATACATAAATTTTCATTTTCTTTAAATATTCAAAAAATCCTCTGCTTTTTTTTGCTTTCTGCTCTATTTTGAAGTCAAACCCAAAAAAAAATCTTTAAAAGTGATTCTAATTAGAATTTTCAATAGAGAACATTCAAAATGTGCAGCGTTGCTTTTTCTTTATAGAATTTTCTTTCTTTCTATGTTTCTTTCTTTTATGAAACTTTAAATTCAGTGATTTTATAAGGTTTTCTACGTGTCACTTTAAGATTTTTAGACATTTAGCTTCGTAGATTTATGAGTCAGCTAAAAAATCTAAAACAATACT